ACTACAGCCTACCCCATGGTGGCTAATTCTCGGAATTCCAGAGACTTATGATATCAGGTCGCGCCTGTTAGTGAAAAGGTCTATCGTACACCTGCCATCGTTTCGTCTATTCTAGTCGGGTATAATACGTACTAATACAGATCTCAGCCTGAAATAAAATTAATTAACAGTTTGCACATGCTAGCTGTTTTTCTGTCATGGGTTGGCGATCCGTTCATTGAACATCCGGAAAATTAGTCACCACCGTGCACCAGGTGGCTAATGGCTATGCCTGACAAAATGTAAAAAAAATAAAAATAAAAAAATAAAAAAAAAACATTACACCCTCACTACAACACGCCGGTCTAGAGAAGGGGCCCACAGTGATAAATTTCCCGATATTTACAAAAATCTTGCGCAATACTGATTCACAATTCAAGCCACTAAACTAGACTTCGAAATGTTGCAGACTGCCGTGAACTATCAAAAACACTCCACCACCATGCACATTTCAGTAGTTCGGTTACGCAGCCCAATCCGAAGAGAACACTTCAGCGTTGTCAAAAGGCTCTTTTAGCCAGGAGTTTGAGCTTATGACAACCGTGAATTTATTTAAAGTAATGAGATCATCAAAGTCATCCGTTTTATCTCTCACGTAACAATCGCGATGATAAATTCACGCGCGGTTCTTATCTTGCGCCCAGCTTGAAACAGTGATTGCAAATAAGGTTTTTTTCTTTGCGCACCCTTTCGCATTATCGTAAGAGTAAATCTTATTTTTGATGTATAGCTTAATAAACCGCAACTTAAACGACGTTTCAAATGACTTTTCGTACTCTAGGAGCTGTTTACCTTGATATCTGGTATAACCTGAAAAGCCTCCGTAGACTGAAAAGACACTTTCTTTTAGCTTAAATCCTTCGGATTGTATGTATGTACATCTTGTTTACCTATGAAAGAAAAACTTAACGATTCTTGATCTTTGCCTTTCTGGTTTCGGGCAGCCTAGTCTTTGCGAGCTTTGAATGTCGTTCGCCGCTACGGTCACTGCACACTCGTCACAGGACGATTGGTCACAGGACGATTCGTCACATAGGAACATTCGTCACAGGATGACTCGTCATGTGGGGAACTGGTCACATCGATCGGGCAGGGGACGGTAGTAAATTGTAAATCTCAACAACCGCCCACATTCCCTGATGAGGAGTTTCACGACTTCCCAATGTGACATAAACCAATAGTTAGAAAAACTAATCTTACGATACTCATCCGCTTTTCCTTTCATCATATTACGACTCTTCGGCAGGTTGACCTAAGTTGCTGGCTTGAACGAGCAATAACCGACTGGTAGCCAAATAAGTTTTTACTTTGCCTTGCATACAGCTCTTCGAGAAAACCAATAAGTATCGGAATTCTTTCTGCTGCATGCATGGCTCCACCTCTCTCTTACTCTCTCTGTTGCGATCCCCTCTATCCTTTTGAATGTAGCCCGAGTTTGAAAATAGTCGCTTTTATAGACCTTTTCTGTGTACTGTTGTCCCCAGCCACCTAATAGGCGTATCCGGTATGGGCGACGAAAAAATAATCCAACGTTTCTGGGACCGGACATTTCATCGAACGCCGTTTCGTCGAACGTCGTTTCATGGAAGCCGTTTCATCGAACGCCGTTTCATCGAACGCCGTTTCATCGAACACCGTTTCGTCGAAGCCGTTTCATCGAACGCCGTTTTATCGAACGCCATCTTATTGAACGCCAGGGTGGCATTTCCGCTTCCTGAAGCTGGTCGGAGGGGCCCATCCCGGGTTCTTGAAGTTTTTGACTTGCATCGCCACAGAACATCAACTGACGGAAGACAAGCTGGAGGCGATGCTGAGTTCCCAAGAGCCTCCTCGCCAGAAGAAGGCCATAGCGGCAAGAAATGAGAAGGTCCACCTTTTTTATGAGAAGCGATGGCTGTGGGGGACTTTTTGAGAGCAATTACTCATCATTTGAAAGAGTGAATGGCCGTCGCACGAACACATGAACCCCCGAAAATTTTCAAATAAAATTTGAAGAGACGTACTTACTTTCGACTTCATTAAGTCTTAAAACTAAAAAAAGAAAAACAATGTTGCGTTGGAGTTTCATAAATAGCACCTCAGCTTTAGCTACTGCAAGCTTCGGGCAGTATCAATAGAAATACATGAGAGGCTAGGAGGCTCACATGGCTACAGTTGTTGTGCCTGCGCAAAACCTAAATCGCCTTCTGGCTACAGTTGTTGTGCCTGCGCAAAACCTAAATCGCCTTCTGGCCTCCATGAGTTGGAGTGCGCTCTTACCGGGAGTGCGACTTTTTATTTATTTGTTACAATACCCTTAAGGCCCATCGGGTAATACAAAGGGGGTGAACAGATAAGCACAATATGCGAAACAAACATAAAAATCGGTACTTGAATAAAAATAAATTGTAACAGCTACAAGTTTGGACATTAAAAAACCTGACGATGAACTGGGTAATGACACGAAAATGCACGCGATCCGTGCATGAAAGACCATCTTTCACACTTTTTATATAAACGACATTCGATGAAACGGCGTTCAATGAAATGGCGTTCGATGAAACGTCATTTTTCTTTTATGAAACGGGGTTCGACGAAACGGCGTTGGATGAAATGTCCGGGAACACAACGTTTCAACCTGCAAATAGTAAAAAAATTAAGGGGAGGCAAAACGAGGAAGTGTGACGGTTACGCTTATCCTATATGCCTTCTATTAGCGTGGCGAAGGCAAAACAATGTTTTCGCCCATAGTGGAAGTGACGTCAATTGACCTTTTTCAGAGATCGCTGGGCGCATGCGCCGACTCTGAGAGAGGAGAGGAAAGGGAAAGGCGTTATTTTTGATGGCTCTCTCGCCCGCTCGGTCGCTCAGACAGTGCTGGTTATGCTTGACTCTTCCGGTATTCTCGCGGCTTGGCTTCATGGTCGTCATGCCTCACCACCGCGCAGCAGAAGGTTGCACAAATAGATGCAAACATTGTTAAAATCCCAAATTTTATAAAGTTCTTGTAGCTTTTGGCGTGTGGTACACGAAAGCACCCGATGTCAAACGCCCCGCCGTTTTTGCCCTGTTTTCAAAAGCCTATGACGAGAGTCCCCCGCGTCCAGTGGCTGGAACATCAATGTGACGGCGGAACATTCTGCTTTTAACTAAAATACAGTAATGTGAATATGATGATATACCTGAAATTGGGGCAGGAAAAGGAAAACGCAAAAAGGACACAAAAAAAGGACAGGCAACGTCTCCTGAGACGTTGCCCGTTTTTCCTTTGCGTTTTCCTTTTCCTACCTCAGTCTCAGGTTTAATAATATAAAATGAGCGTGTTGCTGAATAGATACGAATACATGAAAGGATAAAACATCAAGGACGGGGACGGATACAGGACTTCTTGAAAGAGGTACTCTTTCCGTCCCTGTCCTCGATGTTCCATGGAGCTTTCGTGTATTCAACTTACACCAGCTCGCCTGCACTCTGATTACTTTTGTTAATAGTAAACGTGCAAACGAGGTTGTGTGACGTAATCATGCCATACCCCGTACTGAATTTAAAAATAACAGCATAAAGCTTTACGTTCTTCAGGCGTGCGCTATACACATTCGCGTCTTGCCACGTTAAAAAAAAGAAAAGACAAAACATTTAAAGCGAGCGAAACGAATTTATGCCTTACGGAGACAGAACCTTGATGAAATTTCTTGGCAACCAACCGTGAGCTTGTGGCTGTTTGCTGGGCCCACTTTGTCGAAGGTTCGTAAACGTGCCGAATTCAAAGATGGGTTGTTTCTAACATACCGTTCTTTACTTTTTGACGGTGCAGGCCATCCTTCGCGATATCAAGATGGCCCGGATTTCGCACCGTCCGAGTTTGTTTACACATGCCCGAATACGGCCATGCCCCGTGCCCTCGCGCGGTACGCAGGACGGCGAAGTGACGGGCGCAATAAGCTTGAATAACTTAGGCGATCAAAAAGAGTAAAATCAGCTGTTTGTAGTGGCCGGGCCTTATAAACGGAGCTCACAATCTCCTCACAAGGTGGATGGTTGGGTCGGTATCCAAGCTGGTCACCATTACTTTCCTTACATAACACTCTGCGACTCTGCTTTGAAAGCAGACCCCTTTTTTAGTTGCTTGCAAGGCGCGACACCGAAGTGACGATGAAGTGACTCCGAGTCGATGGTAAGAACCGATGCGGCGTCGGCGGTCTATCCATCCCTGAAGGTATAAAAACGAAAGAGGTCCTCTGTATCCTAGACATTAACTTTTGTTAATCCTACAGGTCGTTCTTAGCCATTTCGAAGAAAATATTCACGCGAAGCGACGACAGAAAGACGCGTTCAGATTGGTGAAGGACGAAACAACGCCACCAGAGAACACACACAAACACATGGACCGGGAGACAAGCCACGCCTGGCGCGGACGACGGAGAGACGTTCCCGGAGCCACCAAATGTGTTTCTAGGGATTCCCGCGAGGGCGCGCCACGATCGTGGCCAAACTCTGAAAAAGGTCAATTCAAGATGGCGGCGCACTTGCAGAAAAGGTCTATATGGTCTCCCCATTCACCGTTTGGGACGGACCCAGAAGTTAAAACGTCTGCTACAAATTCTTCGATCTTGAGAAGCGAAAGACGTGCTAAGAGAAGAGGTGACCCACTTTGTCAGGCCGAATCAACATTCAATGTTCGGGACCGAACCAGAAGCTAAAACGTTTGTTACAAATTCTTCGCCTTTCAGAAGCCGAAGACATACTAAGATATGGGGTGAGGCACGTTGTCCGCCCGAACCAAATTGAACAATACATTTTTGGGGGGACGAACTATTGTAGGACCGTTTGGCCGCGTCACGAGTCATCTTATGACGAATGTTCCTGTGTGACGAACCGTCCTGTGACCAATCGTCCTGTGACGAGTGCGCATGTGACGAATGGACCGTATCCCGAAATCGCCAACTAAATGACTCAAAGTTTTATGAACCTCTTGCGGATGACCCTACGGTGCACCACACTCAGATTGTAACCTCCGTCCTTAAGAATCTCCTAGACGAGGGCAAAATAACCGCTAACGAACATAAATTAATGAAACCGGTACAGCTCTCCCCGGGCCGCTTCTGCATGCTCCCGAAGATTCACAAACCTGGTAACCCAGGGCGCCCAATCATATCCGGAATAGGTACAGTAACCGAACCCATATCAGGATATTTAGACAGTCTAATTAAACATATACCTACAAATCTCGGTTCGTACATTAAAGACACAACTCACTTCTTAAGGGAGATATCAAATTTATGCATACCGAAAGGATCATATCTGGTTACACTCGATGTGTCATTGCTGTATACGAATATCCCACACGATGATGGAATAATTTCTTTAATTGACATGTACGAACTCCACAAACAACCGGATACCCCAGATGGACACGTCGTCGCTACTCTAGCGAGGCTTCCCTACCCAAAAATCCGGTATAACTTTTCACTATCCGGATTATGGGACCGAAAATTTGTTACTGGAAACCTGAAATCCAAATTTCAGACAAATAAATAATTTCTGAAAACATAAATTCCAGATGGAGTCCAGATAGAATTCAGATATATTTCCGGTTCCATAATCCGGATAGCGAAAAGTTATACCGGATTTTTCGGTAGGGTTGTCTTAGAACTCAACACGTTTGAATTTAACAATAAACACTTTAGGCAGGTTAGCGGAACCGCGATGGGCACCAAAATGGCCCCGAACTATGCCAACGTGTTCATGGGAAAATTATAATCTCAGTTCCTTTCTGAATGTCCCATAAAGCCGCTAATGTACAAAAGGTTTATAGATGATATATTTATTGTCTGGCCGCACACTGAGGAGGAGCTGGTGGACTTCATAGGTCGATACAACGCTGCTCCTCCGAGCATCCGTTTTACACATTCGTACTCTCAAACCGAAATAAACTTCCTAGACGTCAACGTTAAAATAGACGAAAGTAAACTCGCCACGAGCCTGTACCGTAAGCCAACAGATCGACAGCAATACCTGCATTATCAAAGCGACCACCCACACCATTTCAAGAACAGCATTCCCTATAGCCACGCTCATCGTTTCAAACGAATTTGTTCAAAAGAGACAGATTTTGATGCGAGCAGTCAAAATTTAAAGTCAGTGCTTGAGAAACAAAAGTATCCACCCCGTATAATCGACGATGCAATCAGAAAAGTCAAGCAACTGAACCGCGCCGACCTTATCAGCCCGCGCCCCACGCAAAGCGACACACAACGCACAAATCTATGTCTAACTTATGTCTAACTCCTAATGTAAATAATATCTTAAGACGACATTATAACATTCTCGAACAAAGCGAGCGCCTTAAACGCGCGTTTCCATCCGCCCCTGGGGTAGTCCACAGACGATCCCGTAACCTCAGAGACACGCTAGTAAACTCTCGGATAAATTCTTTGCCAGCACCTAACGAATGTAGGCCTTGCATGCTCCCAGGATGTCTGATCTGTAGACAGATGCAGCACACAAGCACGGCCAGCAGCACGCACTCGCAGTTCTCGATCAAAATTAAAGGAAACTGAACATGTGCCTCGTCGAATGTCGTATACTTATTCAAGTGTACGGTATGCAAAATGCAATACATAGGGCAGACTAGAACGGCATTTAGACTGCGCTTTAATAATCACAGATTTCACGCCATAAATCTTCCGACACTGCCTCTATCCAAACATCTCGCTCTCCCAAAGCACTCGTTTGATAAATTGTCAGTGACGCTCCTAAAATCTGGATTTAAATCCAATCGCGAACGTGAACCGCGTGAATCCTACCTAATTTACCGATTCAACACTATTAAACAAGGAATAAATGAGAGCCCCGGTACTCTGGCATCGATTAAAATGCTAACAGACGAATAGCAAGAACGATGAAAAAACTCTTTTTTTTTTTTTTTTTTTTTTCTTCAGGTTTTAAACTTCATTGTTAACAGTGGTACTTTGTTTGTGGCCGGAACTGGACCATCAGCGTTTTACTTTTATTTCCAGGTTTTGAAGTTCATTGTATTTCTTTTTTTATTTCTAGGTTTAACATTGTTCCCTTCCAGATCTGACTCATGCATGCCCCAGAAAACAACACAAGTGACCGTGCCGTGTTTTTTTTTTGAGGCAGCACTTTAGTTTGCGCATGTAACTTTCATCTATTGTACGCTATCGTCCAGGTCACCCCTGCCCGCCCGGACACAAAGTGACCCTGCGCCCCCTTCTCAAGAAGCTACAACCGTCCCCCCGCCGTCCTTGAAACTTGGCCCCGACCGTCAAGCTTCTTCACCCGGATAAAAACTGCCCTAGGCTTCTCTCTCACGAAAGCTCCAACCGTCACCCCGCCGAAATTTGGACTCGACCGTAGCATTGTATAAATACCACCCGCGTTCATCTGTAAAAGTTAAGGGAAGGAAGTGGCCGAGTGGGCTAACGCGTCTCAGCTCGGAGCGTGGATCGAAAGCTTGCGCTGGGAACCTCCTGGGCTCGATCCCCGCCGCCCCCGCCCGTTTCGATCTGATTATCTGGATGAGTTTCGTACCGGCACGCGTTCGTGTGATCACTACTGCGTGATGCACGTTAAAAATCCCAGGTTAGCGGTTGTACCGCACTGGCTAAATTTCTCATCTACAGCTAAGAGACCGATTACCCGTTGAGGCGCATCTCCTTCAAGGCTGTATAAACATAAAGGGCAAGCCAATTTTTTCTGTAAAAGTTCTTCCTGACGAAGGCCGGACTCCGGCCGAAACGTCGAAGATTAAATCGTCCGTTGTTGCTGTTTTCCCTAAGGGTCTTTTCTTCTTCTGTACCCACGCCTTCGGCCCCCCCCCCCCCCCCCCCCCACCATGCCCGTTGTATATATATATATATATATATATATATATATATATATATATATATATATATATATTAATACAATTAAACGCCCTGAATACACCCGCACAAGAAATATAAAATGAGGCATCGAAGCGTTCTAATATGAAACGTAATAACTATGTTACACGAAATAAATAATCTGGACAATCAAAGTCATGTTTTTATTGGCCATCTGGTGGACTTTGCTGTTTCTTAGAAGATTTTCTGGCCCCCTGTCTGGTCAAAGCACCGCTTCGTCTTTGTCCTGAAAAAGAAAACCCAGTTCGTCTAAGCGCAAGAGTAACATCGCTCCAAAATGAGAGGACATTATGCAAAACGTGCCCTCGAGGCCTACTTGTACGAAACGAGGGCTTTCCAGCGAACATCGGAAAAAAAGACTAGTTAAATTTGGGCAGTTTTATCATTTGGCCCCACGTTCCAGCGGATAAAGTCAAGCTTGACTGTGTTTGCCGTATGGTGGCGCCCGTCGAGTCTCCTGCGGGAGAGATGGCCGCTTCCCGCAATACGTGGAAGTCGAAATTTGAGACCGCACCGTTACTCTGCTCCTCGAGTGCAGCATACAAAGTTACTCTACCGTGTTCCTTTCCAAAAATAATACAACAACAGAACAACTACTTTTTGTTTGTCACCGTTTAGTCGGAGGATTGTATGAATATAAAAGCAATCAGGTAATCTATTTACTCAATAAAACACATAACAGTTGGTTTCGAGGGTTCTTATTGAGAACTACAGGGTGTCACAAAAGAAAATTTACACGGTCTTTTTTACGGCAAAAATAAACTAGGCATCGCCGAACGCTCATTCTCCGCCCAAAGGTAGAGCTAGAGGTCACAACCAGATGCCAAAGTTTCAGCCCGATCCGATAACTTAATCAAAAGTTATAAGTGACTTTCTGAAAATTTCAATGGGAAAATGGAGCCCATTTTTGGCCGTTTTCGGTTTCTGGTGCCATAGAGCCCCATGTGTTTGAAAACTCCGTCGGCCGCCATTTTCCCATTGAAATTTTCAGAAAATCCCTTATAACTTTTGATTAATTTATCGGATCGGGCTGAAACTTTGGCATCTGGTTGTGACCTCTAGCTCTACCTTTGGGCGGAGAATGAGCGTTCGGCGATGCCTAGTTTATTTTTGCGGTAAAATAGACCGTGTAAATTTTCTTTTGTGACACCCTGTATTTACTCGACTGGTGATTTTAGTCTGGATGAAGTAATAACAGGGAGCTTCAGCGCGATGTCACTGGACAGTTCGAGAAAACGCACGGAGTCTCGACTATTGAGCATCTCATTATAGATGCGCAGCCATTGCAATATGCCTTTCCCAGAGCCGTTTCTTGAGAGAGTTTGGCAATACATTGGTTTGAATAGGCGAGCATCTCGGGGCCAACCACAGGCCGCGAAACAGCCCCTAGCGGTGGTCGTGTGCTCTTAATATCTGACACGACTAATGTGAGCCGTTTTAGCGTCGCTAGAGTGAAAAGGTTTAGCTCTCAGTGACTGAAAACTTTCTGCATGTGAGGTTTTAGCCACGCCAATATTCAAGTGTAGAATACACGAACGTGCGCTCCAAACCACGGCCGACTTGCTAGAAACAGCGTCTCAGCTGAGACGGGAAAAGAAAGCACTGCCAAAGCCAACGCACGAGCCGAGCGGGACTCCGCGTCTCAAGACGCTCGCGCGCCCCACCCTTTGCACTGTTTTCTTTCAGCCAGTCTCAGCTTAGACGCTGTTCTAGCAAGCCAGCCCTGAGCGAACAAACATCAGCAGTGCAGACAAAGGCATGGGCACGAGCGCGTGGTTTTGGAAAGTGAATCCTATGCACAAGTTCTCGTACAAACAAAAGCGTTTTGCTGAGTTAGGCTGACGCGCCTGTACCTGTGTCTTCACTGCCGACAATTGTGAGATGGAGTAGAGAAGCCGAGATTGAACGCTTCTATTTCACGCTTTGAATGTCGTTTGCAATATTGTGACGTCGCGGTCTCCTGATTGGTTGACGCTGTGTCACAAATTTAGTTTACGCTCTAAGCGTGGGGGGAATATTCGGCGCTGGCAGCGGCCTTTGCTCCGCCTATTGGCCAAACTCTCCCAATACACGGCTCTGGCCTTTCTCAAAAGTGAGCGCCACCTAGTAGTCCCTGAGCCAGTTATCCGAGGTCGCTATTGTTATGGCACGTGCTTTGATCACGTGATGGACACGAGGGCTGCGTCAGCCTTGGGCGTGAACTCGGCTCAGCTCACATGAAAAACGAGTAGACGTCATTTCGAGTCCAAACAAGGGCTCCAAGAAGTAGAAACTTTATGAAATTTCTTTAATTTTTTATTCAACTTGGATTTGGGTGTTTGTTACAATATTTTTTCCTCTGTTCCCTTAAAACTAATAATTTAATTGCTTGTACTAAATTTTCAAAGCCTCGTTTTTGTTGAGTTTTGAATGAATGTAAAAAATCTCCAGTTTATGCAAAGAAGGCTATATCGAAAGCTAGAAAAAGCAATGTGGGCAGCGGCGCCCCGAACTTTCGAAGTAGTCAAACGTTAAAATCTCCTCATTTGTTCAACATACCAGAAGATTGGGAAAGTACTTTTTCTTGTTCCTGATAAATTATTTTTCTAAATTATTTTTCATAGATTCTTCGACCACGCCTCCAGGCGCCCGTCTCGTAGGCGGCGCTCGCCGGCGTTTGCCAGCGAGGCTTGAACGGTAGGAGACGCCGTCGCTAAGTCTTCAACGCTCCCCTGAAAACACGTTTTATTCGCTTTGATGTTCACCATATCCTGACTTTCATGCATCCGCATACTATTTGCGTTACGTAATGGTACTGGTTTATAAAGAATTCAGACCGGACAGGTCTTCACAGATATGAAATGATAACGGAGACGTCGCTCTTCTATTGAACTTCAATGTATTTCGATAGAATATGTAGTTCTACCAAGAGCAGTGTAATCACAGAAAAAGCATTTAATTATTTGCGGCGAACACATCACACATCTGAGATTCTGTTAGTGTGCAGTATTTTAGCCTCTGAAATACACTGGAGGCCAGCAGAAGACGTCTCGAATTCTGAACTCACTATTATTTTGGAGGACGTGTGTTTGATAAGAGGTGGGTGTTACATGGTTGCCGTTTTCGCCATCTGAGTATCAGACTCGTCAGACATTAGATGACGTAATGACCTTCATGGTAGTCGGTTTATTAAAAAGATAGTTTATTATTTTTTTCATTAATGGTTTCATGGCTCATGTTGCCATATTAGTAAGGACGCCAAATACTATCAGAGGCGTCACCAATCAACAGAATTTGCGAAAATATAATAGTTTCCTTGACATACAACGATCAGTCGTTTCTTTTTACTCCCGATTTCAATATTGTGCACCAAAAGATTCTCATAAGCCCTGCCCACAATGACGCTTACAAGAATGACGCAGTCGTTTCCATGACGACGTCACTATCACCACAACGCCTCCTCGGGAATGCGTCAACGAACTTAAGTACATCTCAATTGCACCTCAATACAATTTAAGTCCAATGGGGAAGCGACTCCTTCGTAATCATATCACATCGGTGAAGAGCACTCCGGTCTGAATTGCATTTATATCTGGACATATGACAGACGGGGCCGCAAAGCATGTAAGTAGACATTTCGAAACTCGGAAAGCAGGCGATGCAGGCCTGCGTTCGTCGGCATGCAGTTATCTGGGCAGGAGTAAAGTATAATGAAGACGCCGGCATCATTACGTAACGCAAAGAGGATACGGGTGCATGAAAGTGAGGATAACCTCCGCATCAAGTGAATAAAACGTGGTTTCAGAAGAGCGTTGAAGACCTTCCGGCGGCGTTTCACACCGTTGACGCCTCGCAGGCAAACGCCGACGTGCGTCGCCTACGAGGCGGGCGCCTGGAGGCGTGGTCAGAAAACGTAATCTTTAAAAAAATAATTTCTCAGCAACCACAGAAAGCACTTTTCTAATTTTTTTAGATGTTCAACAGATGAGCTGGGTTTAACTTGTGGCTATTTAGACAGTTACGGGAACCGCTTCCCAGATCGTTTTTTTTCTGGCTCTCAATATGGCCTTTTCTCCATAACCGTCTAATTTTTAAATTTAATTAAAACTCAACAAAACGAGGCTTTAGAAATTCAATGCGAGCATTTTTTTATTAGTGTTAAAAAAACAAGGGAATAATATTGTAGCTAACACCGAAATCCAAGTCGAGTTAAAAGAATAAAGAAATATAATCGGTTACTTTTTAAAGCTCCCATTTGCACGCAAAAGGGCGTCTTTCAATGTTTGCAATTTAGTAAAAATATGTCATTTTTTTCAGTAATTAGGCGTCCACCTAAATTTGTGTAGTATGCAACCGTTTTATTAGAATGTTTTTCTTAATTACGTAAGTTTTATGCAAATTCCAGAAATTTAGAGAATGATATAAGAAAAACAAAAATTTATTCTTGCACGACAAAAAACATTTCCTTGGAGTTCAGAGGCTTCATTATCCAAATTATTTTTTTAGTACATATTCCAGACATGAAAAATTGCCGCGACTCCTCTGGCATGGAAAGACCCCGTGTGTGTTTTGCGGGTGCACTCTGAGCAGTTGGGCTTTCTTTAAAATTAAATTACCGTTTGTGTCGCGGAAAATAAACATTCGGATATTGTGCGGATGATATTCCTAAAAGTAAGGACACTATAATTTATACTGTTTTCTGAAAGACGAGATTTTACTGGACAATCCTTTAAGTTGTTAGTGAGAATAAAACCAATTTACTGCGGATATTTAAAAAAATTATACCGTGTTTTCCGCTTCATAAGCCACTATAACTTTATTAAGTTTATTATTATTATTATTATTATTATTATTATTATTTCCATTCCTTTAAAAAAAACCACATCTATTTTGTTTTTCGATAACTGGATTTTAACTGCGGAAATTTTCCACGGTATACATTATATTTCTGGTGCGAATCGTTGGCAAGTATATTCAAACTTCCTTTCGATTACACATGCACCGGCATCTTAACACACACGTGCAAAAGTTTTGAGTGCTGTTTCGCCCGCGCTGGCTGTACAAATCTATAAACCGGCGCGAATTATACGTAAGCTAAACTTATAGACCGAAAAAAAAAAAAACGGTACATAGGGTGAGGGAAGTGGTCTTACATCAGACAACCTTTCGCCTGGTCTTGAAGACAATACGAGAAATAGTTCGGTGGTTTGCCACGACCCAACACGTATCCGTGGTCCTTCCCTTTGCAACGGAGCGTTTCCTTCCCCGGGGTAGAATACCAAGGACAATATCCTTCATGAGTCATTCCAAGCCTGAAACGTTTGTTCCAAAGGTTTGTTGTTAGATGTACATATATATATATATATATATATATATATATCGCAGGATCAAGGCGCGTTTACTCTGTGCGATTGGTCTCACCGGTGACGTCATACGCACAAAGAGGGTGGGCGCCATGACCATGCACTTTTGGCGCTGGTTGATTGGCCCCACCAGATACTATAGGGAGCGCAAGTTCGTCTGCGTCTTGAACGAGGGTTGCGGTGACGTCAGAACGACGCCGAGTTCTGATTGGTTCTTGATTGGGAAGATAGTTGGTCTACCTCAGTGTTAGATTCCTCGAAGGCTACCCAGTAGCCTTTTTTTTTTTCGATCAGCCAATAAAAGCTCGGCGTTCTGACATCATCTCAACCCTCGTGTCCAGAAACAGACGAAATTGCGCTCGGCACAGCGTCGGCGGCGGTTGGATTTAGAGTGACACGGAATATAAATGGAACCCGAAAGAACTTTCCTCAGAACCGGATTTTGCTAAATGTCTCAAGATTACGTTCAAGCATAAAGCTATTAGAAAAGGAAAGACGCGCAAGCACTACTAATCATTGAACCGGGGGTGGGGGAGGATGGTCATTCTTGTAGCTGTCTTCACTTTTGTCGTTCATTGACAAGTAGGAATCATTTGATCGTTATCACTTTGCACTCTGATCAAATGGTCATGTAGTTTTTTTAAGAAATTAAAGTTAGGAGCTTTATGGTACGATAATTAAGTCAGAAAAACCTCACGATAAACGCAGGCTTTCACTCGTAGGCAGCCATGTCTTAAAGTTTGTTTTGGTCACCGTGAATGGAAAATGTCTTGTTTCAGCCAGGCTGGCAAAACATGTTTTGCTAGGCTGGTAGTTACGCGAAGGCTTGACTATCAGACAATTTTCACCCTCCGGTAGCAAGGCGGTGGCTCCCAGAGGCCCTGTACTTGCGCAGATCTATACTTTCTGTTACCCTAAATCAGAGCGCTGCTGACGTCACCACGCAGATGGTATATTCACGCAACGGCGAGAGAGCAACACCGCGGCGTTTGCTGTCTTTCTGAGTGTACACCATCCATGTGGCAACTGCCTACGAGTGCATGCCTCAATGGACCTGATGATGATGATGATGATGATGATGATGATCTTGCAGCTGTTCCCTTTGTATCGGGCGGTTCCGAACCACGTTCGTACCTAACCCCCCCCCCCCCCCCCAAAAAAAAAAATATATATATATATATTAAACGAAAAAAAAACAACACTTATTTCTTTCACTTTCTCCTTGTCCTTCGCGTTCAATTTGCTTTTGTCCTTCGCCACCAGTCCTCCAGTCTGCTTTTCGTTCTTCCGATTACTTTCCAGCTCCGTCCAATCGGCTTCGTGGACGCTGCGGCACGCGTTTCAACCTCACTTCGAGGGATAGCAGCACCATCTCTATCTAGAAACGCGTTCAGCGCTGACCCCGTCGCAGATGATTGGAAGCCGAGTGCTTCCGCCAGCAATTGGGCTTGTGGAAGGGGCTGGCCAGGTGTCTGTACGTTTTCAGGAGCGTAATACCACTGCACCGGATGGCTTGGTTGCAGGCTTGTGCATGAGAGGATGATGTGTTCGATGGTTTCGTCCGCTTCTCCACAAGCCCGGCATGTTGTTGTTTCCACCATCCGATTATATTTCTGTTGGTACACTAGTGTTCTCAGCCCTCCTGCACGTGCTCCAAAATGCAAGCGGCTGCCCAGGCTGTAACTTATAACTTAGCCTCAGCTGATATTGTTCTTTTGCTGAGGTTGTACACCCGTAGCGTTGACTTGCTCTTGGCCGCCTTTGCCCACTGAAGGGCCTCCTCCTCACGCACTCTCTTCCGCACCTCCGTTTCCCACTTTGTGTCTGTATTGGCACTCACGGGCACTGTGAAGAAACTAATTTTTTTTTCCAGTTGATATAGCCGCTTCCTCCATCTTGTCTGTATACTTGTAAGGTGGATGTATACGAAGAGTTTTGCCCACCGATTTCGATCCATGAATCGCAGCCGCCCGTTGTAGCCGATCTTGCTCGTCGCTTGTCTGGCTTCGAAGAATGACCACCCGAGGTCTCCTTGGACAGCCTCGTTGGCCACCATACCATGGCATCCTACGGCCTGCCTCCCGACGTCTCGCTGATGGCGCTCCAAGACCTCCCGCACATCCCCGGGTACGCAGATAACAGCGTTGGCAAAAGTCAGTCCCGGTACTATGGCCGCTTTCCAAAGTTCTCGTGTAACAACAAACCGGTTGCAGCTCCATAAGTTTCGTTTGCGAAGAAGGTTGGTGCCTCGTATAGCTGCCTGTCGGAGATGTAGATGGTGCTCGGCCAAGTAGTCTTGCTTATTGGTGAGTGTAATACCGAGGTACTTTTAAGTGTCTTGCTCGGGTTTTTCGCCATTCAGCACGCAGTTACCAATATTAGGCTCTTGAAGTCCAACCAGCTGCATCACTGCCGACGTTTTGTTGTTAAAGCGAAGGCCTCGCGCATCCGCCTCCTCATCGCACATGTATAACAGTTTCTGTAAGTCTTCTGCAGTCGCCGCCATCAGTATAGAGCCATCTGGGGAGTTGTCTGCGAACTACAAATGAAGAGCAGCCCAACATGCCTCCGCTCGTCATAACACATTATCGTCGTGTCGTTGTATCGGTTTTCAGTCCTTTTTCTACCCATACTTCCGATACAAAAACATAAAGTGTCAAAATAGACTCCATACGCGCGAAGATACATGCTGACAATGTTGTTGTCGCCACTTTCGCAGGGCACCGCGTCCCGGCGTCCTGCAAAAATGGCGACAGTGGGAGTGTACGGATGCGCCGTAGCTTACTGGAAAAGGTCCATTAGGGTTCTCTGCTTTTGATACATACCGATAAACCGCGAAAATTAAACACTCAAGTCGGCTTTATCAATATTACACATATATATATATATATATATATATATATATATATATATATATATATATATATATATATATATATATATATATATTTAATATTGATAAAGCCGACTTGAGTGTTTAATTTTCGTGTATATATATATATATATACATATATATATATACAATATATATATATATATATATATATATATATATATATATATATATATATATATATATTGTTGAGAGGTTGATAAAAGAGATTTAATAGAAGATAGGAGGAAAATGCGACCAGTATGAATGGCGGTACAGCATTCAAGAAGCGCCCGTGCCGAGCGCGCGCTTGGTCAAACCCCTGCCTGTCTGTCCGTGCCACTTCTTCTTCCTTACAATATCCCCCCGGTGTTGTAAGTGCCGGTCATCCGGCGCGTTTAGATTATGAGTCTTGGCGGTAATAGGGCTTCATGCGGCTGATGTGTACTACGTCGGAGGACTTGGAGCGAAGGTCGCGGTGCGGCGTAACGGGCTCGACTTCATAATTGGTTGGGGAAAGCTGTCGGATGACACGAAAAGGGCCAACAAACTGTTTGAGAAACTTCTCGCACTTGCCCGGTGCTCGCCGGGGAGACCACAAGAGGACTTCGTCACCTATGTTATAGGCAGTGGGGAGGTGGCGGTCGTCATAGCGCAGTTTCTGTTGTTGCTGGGATTTAAGGGTGCGGATGCGGGCAAGCTGACGGGCGTCTTCTGCTCTGGAGACAATCTCCCCTGCGTAGGGTTGCATGAAGTTGTCAGGTCGGTAGGGTAATATCGTGTCAAGGGGTGTTAGGGGTTCGGATGCATAGAGCAAGTAGTAGGGAGAGTGTCCCGTGGTAGATTGTCGTGCAGTATTGTATGCATAGGTTACGTAGGGGAGGATGATGTCCCAATTGTCGTGATGATCGGCTACGTACATTGAAACCATGTCAGCGATAGTATGGTTGAAGCGCTCTGTTAATCGATTTGTTTGTGGGTGGTAGGCTGTTGTAACGCTGTGAACAGTCGAAGAAAGGCGGAGGACATCTTCAAGTACGTTGGATAGAAAGGGAGTGCCTCGATCGGTGATTATGTATTGTGGAGCTCCATGGCGCAGCAGTATCGAGTGGATGAAAAAGTTTGCGACTTCGTGGGCGGTAGCGGCGGGAACGGAGGCCGTCTCGACGTAGCGTGTTAAATGGTCACTCGCAACAAGTATCCACTTGTTGTTGCGAGTGGATTGGGGAAAGGGACCAAGGAAGTCAATTCCGATGCGTTCAAATGGGCGGTGTGGTTGGGGAAGGGGTTGTAGGCAACCTGGAGGCTTTGTGGTAGGACGTTTCTTGGTCTGGCAGTGGTGGCACGCTCGAACGTACTTGCTGATGCTGCGGGTCATGCCTGTCCAAAAGAAACTGCCTCGGATGCGAAAGTAAGTTTTAGAAAATCCAAGGTGGCCAGCTGTAGGGTCGTCATGGTTTGCTTGGATAAGATCCTTTTGTAGTCGGCGGGGAATCACTAAAAGCCATGGCCGTCCTTGTTGTGTGTCGTAGTTTCGCCTATAAAGAATGCCATCTCTGAGTTGAAAAAGACGGGCACGGCGCTGAATTTGCACAGAAGGATGCGGCAAAGCACCTTCAAGGCATTGAATAATGGGGTGCAATAAAGAATCGAACCGTTGCTCTTCTGCAATGTTGACGGAGCTCAGGACAGCAGTTGTGTCTTCGTGGGCGGAGGAGTTCGAACATTGCGACCCATGGGGAAGGGGGCATCTGGAAAGGCTGTCAGCATCAAGGTGTCGTTTTCCAGATTTGTAATGAATCGTGTAGTTATAGTCTTGGAGTTTCAGGGACCAAGGTCTGAGTCTTCCTGAAGGGTCTTTTAGGGTGGCTAACCAGCATAGGGCGTGATGATCGGTTACAATAGTGAAGTGTGTGCCGTATAGGTAGGGACGGAACTTCGAGATCGCCCACACAACGGCCAAGCACTCGCGTTCAGTTATGGTATAGTTCCGTTCACTTTTCGTTACTGTGCGGCTGGCGTAGGCGATTACTCTCTGGACACCGGAAATGTTCTGGGCCAGTACGGCGCCGAGGCCATGGCCACTGGCGTCTGTACGTATCTCAGTGTCAGAGCCAGGAACGAAGTGACCGAGCACTGGGACACTGGTTAGGGCGGTTTTCAGGGCTTGAAAAGCATTGCTTTGGGGGCGATTCCATTGGAAAGCGGTGTTGTTACGGAGTAGCGTGTTGAGAGGTTCAGCGAGGTGGGAGAATCCGGGTATAAATTTTCTGAAGTATGTGCAAAGGTCGAGAAAGGACCGAAGGTCTTTTAAATTTTTCGGAGATGGAAATTCGGAAACAGCTTGTAATTTAGATGGATCAGGGCGAATGCCATCTGCACTAATGATATGACCGAGGACCTGAATTTGGCGAGCTGCAAAGATACATTTTTTTGTGTTTAGTGGCAAATTGGCGGTGAGAAAGCAATTCAGCACTTCTAGCCTGTGCAAGTGCTCGTTGAATGAGGCGGAGAAAACAATTACGTCGTCGAGGTAACAAAGGCAGGTTCTCCACGTGAGACCCCGTAGCACATTGTCCATCATGAGTTCGAATGTGGCAGGCGCATTGGACAGGCCAAACGGCATTACGTTAAACTGGTATAGGCCGGAGGGTGTAACGAAAGCAGTTTTTGGCTTGTCAGCGTCGGCCATGTGTATTTGCCAATAACCGCTTCTAATGGTCCATGGAGGAAAAGAATGATGATCCCTGAAGAGTGTCGAGGGTGTCGTCGATTCTAGGTAAGGGATAGACGTCTTTAGTGATGATCTTGTTAAGTCGACGGTAATCTACACAAAATCGCCATGATCCGTCTTTTTTCTTGGTGAGAACAACAGGGGCCGACCATGGGCTGGATGAAGGCTCGATTATGTTTCTTTGGAGCATATCTCTGACGTGATCGTCGATGGCCTTACGTTCGGTGGGTGAAATTTTATAAGGGCGGCTTCGAATGGGAGATGCTGTGCCGGTGTCAATGTGATGACAGACTACCGAAGTTTGAGCTAGAGAGCGGCTATTAAAATCGAAGAGTTGTTCATACGAAACAAGAAGCTTTGTTAGGGCTTCCTTCTGGTGAGGAGGCAAGCTAGAGTCTACCATTTTAGCAACTTGTGTGGCGGTGCTTTGGGCAGCTGACTGTAGCCTCGTAGATGTAAGTTCGGAGAGCGTTGCAAGCGTGGTATAAGAATGAGATGTTAGAGTGGCCAAACGTGCACCACGGGGAACAATTTGCGACTCAGTAGATGTGTTGGTGACGAAAAGAGAAACTTGTCCTTGAGTTGTCGTGGCGATGCAGTAGGGAAGAATAACTGGCTTCTTTGCGACAAAGTTGGGGATGGGTTCAATGAAACGAGAGGTGCTTTCGAATGGACGGTCCGGCAGGAGTGTGATAGCAATAGCGGAAAGGGGGGGCAAGAGGTAATCGTCGTCGGTGTGAAGCGAAATGGGTGAATTTTCGTACACGTCGTAACTAGTCTGCCGAGTGCTCAAATGAAGTTCGCGGCTGGCGCAGTCAATGAATGCCTCGGTGGCCGACAAGAAATCCCATCTCAAAATGACGTCGACGACACAATTAGCAAGTGCAGTACACAAAATGATATAGGAAGTGCCTCCGATAGAAATAGGGATGGTGCAGTAGCCAAGAGGTTGCACAAGTTCACTGTTTCCCATCCGTAGAAAATGTCCAGCGGGTGGAGGGGTGAGCACTTTGTGTAAACGGCGGCGAAGCTGATTAGAAATGCAGGATTTTGCAGCACCTGTGTCAACTAATGCTAAAAGTTTTTCTTCTCCAATGTAGACGGTAATAGTTGTAGGGCCAAGGTAAGGAGGATTTAGGACCGGAGTCGGTAGTGCAGCCTGAGCTCCATTGTTAAGACAGGCTGCGCTGCTTAGTTTGACGACGGAAGTACGGTAGTAGCGTCAGTGAACGGCGAGACGGAGCGGTTTCGTCGAGGATAGGGGGAGGGTGATCGACCACGTCGGAATTCAGCAGCTGGAAAGGGACGTGTGTTGCGATGGTCGTCAAAATTGCGGCGGTCACTGGAACTGCCGTGGTTGTCGAAATTTCGGCGCGTGTCGTGGTCGTCAGAATGTCGAGTTTGATTCTGTGGGGTGCGACTGTAGGCTTCAGCATTCATGCGGCGTCGGCAGTAGCGGATGATATGACCTGGGGCGTGACAGTAGAAGCATATCGGACGTTGATCTTGAGTGCGCCATTCCTCTGTCCGCCGGGGTGATAGGTATCGTGTGGATGGAATTGAGACGTTGTGAGAAGTTTGCAGAGCGCAAATATGTGGTGCTGAGTGCTGTAAAGAGCAGATGGGTGGTGAGGAAGTCGATGGTGCCATGCATGTGGGAGACGACGAAGAAATAGGACGAAGGGCAGCACGAAGTTCGTCTTTGATTACCTGTTCAATCTTAGGCGCCTCGGGTTGCGAGATTGAAGAATTGGCTGAGAGGCGCAGGGATCCCAAGAAGTCGCGTAGTTCGTCTCGAATTATTCGCCTGATGAGATTGGGGAGGTCAGTGTCGGCAGTTGTAGTTGAAACTTGAGGGAGCCGTTCAAATCCGGTGTTGGAGATCCGACCATTTTGAAGGTCTTCATAATGCTTGCATTCTGCAATGAGCTGCTGCACGGTCTGAGGTGACCTGGGTGCGACGATGGAAAACAGCCCTTGGGATAATCCTTTGAAAAGGTGCTTGATTTTTTCATCCTCCGGCATAGCTGCGTTGACACGTCCGCAGAGGCGAAGGACGTCCTCGATGTAGGACGTCGATGTTTCGGAGGGGGCTTGGTATCTTCTGGAGAGTTTGTCCCGCGCTTGTTGTCTTCTGCTTTCAGGTGTACCGAAGACGTCTGCGAAGGCGGTTTTGAACGCATCCCATGAATTAATTTCTTCCTCGTGATTGTCGTACCATTGGAGTGCAGTCCCTTTGAGGAAAAATACGACGTTGGCGAGTTTGATGGTGTCGTCCCAACGGTTGTGTTGGCTCACCCGGTCGTAATTTTGGAGCCAGTTCAGGACGTCAGCGTCGGCTGAACCGGCGAAATCCTGGGGGTCACGTTGGCGAGTTTTGACCGTTGAAGTGTTGGTGGGGCGCTGGTCTCTTACATTCCCGTTATCGTCGTTCATGGTTGTGACAGTCGACCTTCCGCTACGCAGCTCCAGGTCGGAATTACCAGATGATCAGGTTGGGGATCGCTAGCGCACCTCCACCAAGTGTTGAGACGTTGATAAAAGAGATTTAATAGAAGATAGGAGGAAAATGCGACCAGTATGAATGGCGGTACAGCATTCAAGAAGCGCCCGTGCCGAGCGCGCGCTTGGTCAAACCCCTGCCTGTCTGTCCGTGCCACTTCTTCTTCCTTACAATATATATATATATATATATATATATATATATATATATATATATATATATATATATATATATATATATATATATATATATATATATATATATATATATATATATATATATATTACAAGCATCACGCGTAAAGGAAACATTTACGTAAGGCTTCATTTTGCGCTGACCGGGAACACAGAGCGCAATCAACAGTCCCCGAAGCTATTTCTTGCTTGGGAGTCACTCATCTTATCTCTCGTTTCTTTTTCTTTTTTTTTTATCGGTAAGGAAACGTCTTTCAAGTGCTTGGGGTCACGCGAAATCACCCGTAAATCGGGAAATTCTGTGCCCGTGTCCCATTCTTGTCAACTCCCTTTCTCGGTCATTGGAAATAGATACCGAAAAACACCGAATTGGAGGGATGTCTAGGACGAACTTAAGGACGACTTCTAGGACGACCTCGAGGATGAAGCCTAGAGACGATAACAAGGTATCAGAGCCCTACTATCTCATAATGCCAAGGAAGGCATTATTAGATTATTACTCACGCTGGTTGCCCCCTCTTTTTATTTTTATTTATTTATACATGCCACCGCCAATGGGGAATTTTTCTGTTAACATGGGCGCACGCATTGTTCCCCAGATCCTAGCGCATAACAGCTTCGCTGTAAATGACATGGAACCAAAGTTTACCAACATGGCGCTTGGCGAGATTTCGATCAGGAAGTACGTCACGTGAAACCGTCCTCTACGAGACTGACACGCTAGACAGTTCTTAATTTCTGCAATAGTTGATATTCCTGGCAGCCACTGCTCATATACTCACAAGTGTCCCAGTTCGCGAGCTATGATTTTGGGCTGTTTCGCTCCTGGTCGGCCCATATTCATCGTTTGAGCGGTGATGGGGTTCTTCTTGCACACGTGGCAATATTTTGAGCATCCTGAAAAAACAGACGGGGCTTTATCAACCAGAGAACAGACAAGGGAATCCGAAGGCATGCTTCGTACACTGCCATTTGGTTCCTCCGATCGACTGCACTACGACAATATCAGCTGGAAAACAAGGCGCCCCTCTCCCCCAAAACCACACCCAAACGTCATGACTGGTGCAAACACGCAGCGCCACATAAATCGCGTCAGCGTCGCCTCCGACGCGACTTTCAGCGTCTCACGACAGGTGAGACGCCGAAAGTTCCAGCTCCAGCTTTCCCACGCCACACGATAACGCCACGCATGCTCACTTGGAACCAATTGGCGCTGGAGGCGTGAGCCATTAATGTTCAAACACTCTCTGTGGTTATACACAAACTCAGCTCTGTTACGTCACGGCGCGGCGGTGGCGCGTCGGGCGCACTTCCAGTCTGGGACAGTGGCCGGAAATCGCCATATGGTACGTGCATTCATCTGTTGCTTAAAAAAAAAAAAAAAAAAAAAACAACAACATACAAAAGCCGTCATCTTGTCGAAACGCCGCGGCAGGGGCTGTATGAAAAGAGTCGGGAAAGGTCTGAAGGACAGTTTTCATGCGTTTTCTGCCTGCACGGTTCGTGGTAGAAAGTGAATAGGTGACGTGAAAAAGGAAAATCAGACGCCGTCCGACCACGACTGCTTGTGCGGGAAGCACCTTGGATTGAATTCATGGATACTTCTGGTTGTCAGATATGTTTGCGTTGCTCCACTATAAACGCTGGAAAACCGCCAAGTTGTACGGACCACCGGCGGACGACGTTCAGTGCATCTTCAAGTTCAAAAGGCCGCCTGATTGTTCGAACTGTCGTTTGCCCATTCAAACGCTCCTGCTCGTTCAAACTCCGCTTGGGCTGGAAAAGTGTGAACCCTAGCTACGATGGTCGACAGTCGATACTAAAAATCGCAAGCAGAATTAGACCAAGTAAATCGAGCATAACAAGTCGGTGAATGCCTCTGGTAACAATGATCAACATCTCCTTCTATCTAGCGTTTACGCCGAGCCTGCTTACAGCAACCAACCATTAAACTTAATAATCTTTTTGAGGCCTGCACTTATTACTTATGGGAAGACCAACACGCGGCCCTGGCGTCACACAGCTGCGGTGGCGCTGTCGACGGCACTGCGCATGCGTAGAAGCTTCACGCGAATTCGGTTTCGGCGCACGCGCAAACGCGGGCTTGTTTGTACACAGCGTGTCGGTCTTATAGATCGACACGCTGATGGTTGGTTGGTGTAAGCAACGTTGGTTGGTGTAAGCGTAAATACTAGATAGAAGGAGATGTTGATCATTGATACCAGAGACTTTCACCGACTTGTTATGCTCGATTTACTTGGTCTAATTCCGCTTCCGATTTTTGGTATCGACTGTCGACCATCGCAGCTACGGTTCACGCTTTTCCAGCCCAAGTGGTGTTGCGGCTGAAAACCGCGAGCAGAATCTCATCATGCTGTTAGCTTCCATTCTGCGGCGTTCACGCGAATGAATCGCCACACGTCACATTGTTTACAGGGAGTTTTGGGGCGCAACGAGGCCTCATTATCTTTAGCTCAGGCCATTAAGGTGGTAAGACATTGCCAAGAAGACGCAAAATCAAGAATTCCGGTGCGAAAAAAGAGAGCGAGGACTCACACCGACGCCGACAACAAAACATTGCAATGGTTTGTTGATGCGGGACTCTGCGCTTCTTTCCACCACCGCACCGCGCATGCGCGGCGCCGGTAACGTACCGCCATGGGCGCTCCGGTTTGTTTGTAAACATGAGTTGGTCTATAGTTGCTCCCTTCTTTTTTAATCTTGTCTCTCTAGAAAACCCAACGGTACGCTGTCACCATCAATCAGGTGGTTCTGGAGCTGCATTTCACCAGACCAAAGGTTTTGCAGCATTCGCGAGATTAAATGTTCATACTATCTACGACGAACGGTGGTTAATATTATTGTCAAACTTTTCTTCAAGCCCGGGGTGAAATAACGACGAACAAAAGAATAAGTAAATATAAGAAAATCTTCGAGTGTCCCACGGCTATCCGATAGGTGGCGCCAGTGTATCCCCCCGTCTCTAGCGATTATAAGACTGCACAACGCACTCATTTGCAACCAAACACAAGTGTGTGAGACAGATTTTACGTCAACTGCGTTGTCGCAGAAGTCAATGGCGAGAAATGGACGACATGCTAGCATTATAAAAACGTCATTGGAACAATTTATTTGACGCGCGAATTATAACCAATTTAGTGGGCATGTTTTTTTGTGATGTGAATATTTCTATATCCCAAATAAAATCATTGAAGAACAAAACCAGAGGTTTTTTTTTCTTGTTTCTTTTTACCGTGGCTTCTATATGACCTGTGACAAGCCGATGAGTGGCTTGCCATTGCCATTAATCATCTATTTCCAGCTTGGCAAATTTGCACCTTTACTAGGTGAGATTTGATTGAGTAATGGAAACGTGTACATACCATCTTCAGCGCCACGCCGATGCGGGAGCCTGAAAGGAAAGACAGAGAGCGTGGTATATACGCAGAGCGAACAAATGCCATCAGAGTAGCGTGACTCCTGAGTGATTCGAAGTTGATCCGCGATAACAGTGCATAAAATGTGAACATGGCTGCTGTGTGTGCAGCGCGTCTTGATTTTGTGCCACGAATATCCATTCATAAAAGACACAGTCGAAAGCGGCGAAACATTTTTTCCAAGAATGGCGGCATTCTCCACAATCCACACACCTATTTTGGGGAGAGTAGCGGACTTCAAAGTTTTGATGAGTCATATATAGAGTCCTCTTCTTCTCAAGTGACCGAGTAAATATTATCGAATAGTTTTTTTTTTTTACAAAGTGTAATTGTAAATGTAGTTGATTAGTTTTGTCGGGTAACGTGCACGAGACTGCTGACAAGATGCCTGGCCCCCATGCACGCGTTCTTCGCTTTCCTTCGTGCTTCGGCTCTGCGAGCACGCTCGAGGCCAAAGCGTTATCGAAGGTAGAGCTAAAAAAGGGGCTACCATACCTCCTCCCTGCCGCTGTCATCCTGTCGATGACTATATAGTGTTTGCCACTCTTAATGGGGCTCCTATCATCTTGGTGTTGTGCCTACGATCAAACCCAACAGCGTATAGCAAACAGCCTACTCGGAGATTTGTGGCTTTCTTGTCGGCTCCAGCCGGTTCGCGCATCAGAACACTTTGTAGCACTGTTTTCTTCTTTTCGAAATGTAAGAAAACGTTTTCGACTTAGCTGTCTTACTGTACTGTACTTCGTTTCTTCTTCGGTCTGGACCTAGCCGACGCTAGACGAGCTGATGGGACCGCTCCTACAGTTTGAAAGGCACACCAACAGGGTGTCCGTGTCGTTTCTGTACACGTGTTCTATTATCGCTGAAAAAATAGTGTACATGGAAGGCCCGCTGACTTACACCTTTGACGCCATTTGATCAGCTTCATGAGTCTCATCAGCTCTTAGCGTCGGCTCCTTCCGGATCTAAGGTGAAACGAGGTATCATACAAGCGTTCCTCATTGTAAATTTTAATATAAGAAGTATTTTCCCCCTAATTGGGGTCAAATTTCTCTGGCAATGAAACCAAGGCCACAGAGCCGAAGCACGCCGTCTTACTGCACAACTGAATATAGTTCAACCGAAATAATTTTCTGGGTGCAAGTTAACTAAATAAATCATATATATCAAATTGTTAGGTTTTTTTGAAGCTTTGATTTTGTAATGTTACTCTAATAATAGTCAAAAATTACCAAACGTGAAGCATTTCTTTTTTTTCTGGCTCCTTCGGGTTTTCTTGCTTTAAGTTCGTCGCAGGCCTTTTAGTTCCCCTCAAAACAAACATGGCCTCCTTCTCTTGTTGCGTGCATCGTCGGTGGTGGACAGTGCCGGTTTTAGGGGTGGGCGACCTTTGTGGTCGCCTAGGCTGCCATTAAAAGGGGGGCGACGCCGCGCCCCCTAATTGAATGCTTTACCTTTTTTTTATACTTGAACACAGCCCCTGACACGACGCTATATGCTTGTGTTGGGCCACTACTCGCATGTTTACTAACAGCGAAATGTCGTATACGTAGTAGTATGGTGCCTGGAGCGCGCCCATACATCAAAAGTGGTCCCAAAGTGGCAACAAATGACGTCACAGAAGCCGGAGTGTCATGCTGTAGCCTGTCGCGATCCTGGCGGCTGGTCGTAGAAATGCTGGTGAAAAGCACGAGCGAACTCGAGTGTCGCTGTCGTCACGGCGTGCCAGGCGTCCCAACTTCCTGCTGCCGAAGCTTCCGTGGACTGTCGAAGTGAAGAGCGACCTGCAGCAGAACAGGCGTCTGCCACATACATACACCACAGCTGCTGAGACACCACCAGGGTCGCGACCGGCGACAGCATGACACTTCTATGACGTCATCAGACGGAAATCGAGGGACCACTTTTTGGGGCGCGGTAAACACACCAGTCGGAGACGCGTTCCAGGCACCATACTAGCAGATATGGGCGTACAAAAAGGGAGGGGGAAGAGGAGCGCGACGGCCGGAGTTTGTGGAGCGCGCTTGAGGGTATAACCCCTATAAAAATTTTTTTTTTTACTTTTTAGTAAAAATGTGTTAACTTTTTGTTGACTCTGATTACTTTCTTTTCATTTTGACTTTCTGTTGACATGGTAAACAGAAAGTTTGTTGACTTTGTGTGGAAACTTTTCTGGTGATTTCCTTCACTCTGAGTCAAAAGAAAAGCTGTAGAATTTCTCCTCCTTTATGTTAATTTTTTTCTGCTGACTTCCTGTTGACAGTGTCACCAGAATGAACGCAGACTTTCTGTTTACTCCGTGTTGAAAATGTTCAGTTGGCTCTCTGTAGCCAGTGTCAAAAGAAAAGCTATAGACTTTCTGTTGAATTTTTATTGGACGGAGACAAGCGCGCCCGTGCAGTCAAATCAAGACGGAAGGCATGGGGTGCGTGCTGGAGGCCGGGCGTCCGGAAGACAAGCCCTGCCGTTCTCACTTTGTAAGTGACTTCAGAGACCTTAATTACCTTATTAAATTAGTAAACCAGTAAAGAAAAGCAAAATAATTATTTTTAAGTGGAGAAACTGCCTTGACTGCTTCGTCCCCAGTGGTGTTATGCAGAAAAGTGATAGCGTTTCTTCTAGGAGCCATTTTTGTGGATGTTGCCTTATCGATTGCGTCGAAATATTATTAGTTGTACCAACGCTTTTAAGTAAGAGATATCATCCACGAACGTCGAAACACTGTTTTCACTTTGAGCGACTTCCGTGGAAGAGTTCAAATACTTGGAACCATGATCGGTGCTGAGGTGGTCACCGCCCATATTATTACCTTCAATATGTAGGCTATACACCAACTCATGTTTACAAACAAACCGGAGCGCCCGGAGCGCCCCTAGCGGACGCCACCGGCGCCGCGCATGCGCGATGGGGGTGTGGGCAAAAAGCTCGCCGTCGCCCATAAATAAACCATTGAAATGCGATGTTGTCGGCGCCGGTGTGAGTCCCCGCGCTCTTTTTTGCGTTGGAACTGTTGATTCTACGTCCTCCTAACGATGTCTGACTACTTGAGCAGCGTCAGCGAAATTAACGAAGCTCGTTACACCGCAAAACTTCGCGTGAATAATCTGGCACGCGGCGATTCATTCCGCGCGGACGCCGCAGAACGTACGCTAAAGCCTGATTCACACGATGAGATTTCGCTCGCTATTTTCAGTAGCGACATCGCTCGGACTGCAAAAGCGTGAACCGTAGCTGAGATGGTCGGCGTCGATACTGAAAATCGCAAGCAGAATCTAACCAAATGAATCAGGCATAACAAGTCGGTGATGGCCACTGGTAACAATGATCATTCATCATCTCCTTGTATCTACTGTTTACGTCGAGCCTGCTTACCAACCTTCAAACTTAAGTCTTTTAAGGCCTGCACTTAATTCTTATCGCAAGTACCGGGCCCACGTTTCGCCTACGGGCCGGTGTCCTCTAAAAGAGCAGACGACAAGCAGAAACGTTTGCAAGAGTAGACGACAGTTCGAACGATCAGGCGACCGTTTGAACTTGAAGACGCACTAAACGTAGTCCGCAGGTGGTCCGTACAACTTGACGGTTTTCCGGCGTTCATTTTGGAACCAAACAAATAAATTTGATGGCCAGTAGTATCCGTGAATTTAACCCAAAATGCTTCCCGCCCAAGCAATCGTTGTCCGACGGCGTCTGGTTTTCCCTTTTCACGGCACATATCCGCGTTCTCGGACGAACCGAGCGCATGAAAACTGACCTTCAAACCTTTCTCGACTCTCTTGGTACAGCCCCAGTCGCAGCATTTTGACGACAAGGCAGGTTTTTGTCTGGTTCCTTTCAAAACAACGCAGGAATACACGTCTCAAATGGGCACTTCCGCCCACAGCCCCAGACCGAAAGTGCGTCCGACGCGCCACCACCGCGCCGTGACGTAACAGAGATGAGTTGGTGTATATAAGGCCCTGGAGCAGTCAAGGGAACTGTGATTCAGGTGTTCGATGCTTCATAGTGTTTGTTTGTGTTCGATTCTATATGTAGTTGTGAAATGTATGTAGTGCTTTCAAATACCATAGGTACACCATTTACACCCTCCAAAATAAAAATTATAAAAAAAAATCGCGTATTTGCTTACGCGATTTTACTGCAGCCAATTCAGATCAGAGTGGAAAGCCGTAGTAAGCTTCCAAAACTGTGTGAAATGAATGGCTGAATTGTAAAGAATATTTTTCTTTCTAAACGGCTGTAGGTTTTCAATTGAAAGCTGGACATTTTCAATTGAGAAGCTACAGCAAAAGCATCTTGGAGGCAATAGAAATACCATTGACTTTTTATTAAAAAGTGGGCCAATATTCAAAAGAAAATTTACAGAAAAACTAGAGAAATTCAGATGAAAAGCAATTGACATTTTATATCCTCTGCTGACTTTTTTCAACAACCTTTCAACAGAACAGCATCACAGTCTTTTGTAAGGGAAGGCCGGCCCTGACTGTCGGCATGGTAAATCGTCGCAACCTTCCGTAAGCACGCCCCGTTGTTTGCCCTATACTCTTTTTGTGAAGTTTGGCAACCAAAAGTTGTCAAAACAAACCAAGCAAGTGGCATGCAACGTGTACGCACGACTGAGACAGAGGAAGCCAGGATCCTACATTGTTTCCGTATACCGGTTGGTTAGCGAGCTCCCCGTCGTAAGCGAACAGGGGTGGGGATTGAGCCCAGGATCTTTGGGTTCTGCAGCGCGAGCTTTCGCTGTATGTATTCCAAGCTGTGGTGCGCCACCGGACTCCCTGCGGCCAGCAGTAACTGAACGGGATCCTGAAAGGATCTGACTTCTTGCGTAGGCAAATATTTCGCTATGCCTCTCTCGCGCTATAATTATTCAGAACCAGGAGAGTTTACGTAATATTACCTCGAAATTGAAGCGCCGAAAAAATTCACGGCATTTCTTAAATCGTCGTTGCATATCTGCGGCGGTCGCTGGACAAATAGAGCTCGACAAGGTGGACCATGGTGTAATTCACCCCCTAACTGGGTCTGAGTGCTACAGAAAAGGCGGTGGCTCGTGCTTAAAACCGGGTGAAACCTTGGGAAAGAGAAGCGCATATGTCTGCATTCTCGGTAATCGCGATTCAGAGCCCTCTATCCGATCCTCATACGAAAATATGAACTGTAGCAACTGTATGGCGTTCAAGCCAAAGTGTAAACTGAAACCGAAACCAAAACAAAATTGTGCCGAAGTCGCCACTGTCACTACTCTGATTCTCGACAAAATGCATTAGTATTCTGAGCAGGGGTTTTTACTCAGCGAAGGATGGGAATTCCAACCTCGCAGCGGTCCGCACAATCTTGTCTCGGAGAGCCAGTCTGTTCTCCAGAGCGTAGGCGGTTTCGGATTCAGCCAGCACACCTTCCTCCGATCGCCACATATATGATTCACATACTGTTGTCTACAAAGAGCCAATCCTTCCTCCCGAGTGTCGGCGGTTTTGCGGAAACGGCATAGTCGCCGCGCCTCGGCATTACGTTGTCGCATAATCTGTGCCCCCGCCACGGCCGCTCGATATCCTTCTCTCCTGCCCAAGCGGCACGTCATTGGAAGCGTGGCAGAAGACTCTCCCTCTTGTGAGAGGGAAAGTGGAGGTAACGAAAGAGTGAACGGAGCGAAAGAGCACGGCGGGAACCGCGCATCGGTCTCATGGAACCAGTCCAGTCCAAACCACAACCGTTCAAACCAAGGGCGACTGAATGGGGCAGGGTGATAAATGGTCACGCATTTAGAAGTCTGGAACTATTTGGCAAGCACAGAGACGTACCTCCCCCCCCCCCCCCCTTTCCCCCCAGCTTTGTCGTCACTGCCACCGATAGATCATCGCATGTAGACAATCTTCCTTTCCAGTCTGTGAACATTCACAAGTCCTATACACCAACTCAACTCTCACTCTCCCGTCACGCCTCCAGGGTGGCGCTGCTGTCGGCACTGCGCATGCGCGGATGCTTTCTTTCACGCGAATCTAGTTTCTGCGCAGATGCAGTGCAGGCACCTGGTGTGGGAAAACGCCAGCTTGTTTGCACATTAAGTGTTGGTGAGGGATATAGATTTTTTCAAAGACAAAATTGTGGATCCGTGGCAGTGTGTGCAAGTACAGCGAGACTCCGAGCACATGAAGTGAAATCTCGCGCTGCAGACATTCGGTGTCGTATTCCCTCCCGGCATGCTTCGATATAAGAGAGCCTCGTACACGCAAGCGGTCATCAAATGATTCGCGAGTGATGCACCTGAAAAGCACCAGGTTAGCAGTCGCACCTCTATACGGGGTCTTATTGTTCTGGCTTTACATATGTTTCTTTAAAAAATCCCTGAAAGCAACATTAATGCTCTGAGCGCGGGTGAGTTATACGGCCTTGGGGACATAATATGGGAGGATAAGTACCACGATGGGTCGAATAACTAACTTAAACTTGTAAGTTATCTTTAACGAAAATAAACATATGGTTTCAATTGGAACCTTGCTGGACGTCATTGAATATCACAAAGTCATTTTAGAAAGGCTAGGAGCGCGTGTAAAGCACGGTGAAGCGCTAAAGTTGGTGTGACGGGCGCAAGGCTAGCGGCGGGAAAACCCGGACGACGAGAGACAAAAAACCAGCGAGGCCACGTTCCCGCACCCCCAGGTTGTGCCATGTTGCATGAGTGATAACTTAAGCGTACACCGATCTGCCCACGTGTTTCGAGCCTCTCCAGAATTCACCGAAATAATGGTCCTGAATGGCGCGTGTATCTTTGCTTATTAACAGGTTATTTACACATCTTTGTTAATTAATTTACTTGGGACAATTAACTTCATATCTCATGTCCTCATCGTTTAACTGACCTGCACAGACCTCACAAGGGAAGGTTTTGCGGCTTTTCTTAACAGTCTGTAAACATCTAATAAGACACCCTCAATATAAGTCAACAATTTACAAACAAAGACCTTTATCAGACCCCGAAAGACGCGCACTCAAACGAAACACTTGCCAGGTCTTTGAGCCATCGTTAGGAAGTTTTAGTAAATCTGTATGCGTTACCGAAGAAGAAATGTCACGGAATACGTTACTCCTTACTTGAAAATAAAAGGAGTGCGTCACCGATCTACGTTACCTATAAATAAAAGGAACGCGTTACGGATACCGTTACAAAAGTAACGCGCGTTACTTTTGTGTCACTTTTGAACGGCGTTTATTCATCCTGCATTGACGCCGAAAGCGTTTCTCGACACTGGAGAAAAAGCGTGTAGGTTTCGTGGGATGAGTGCAACAATTAATAGGATTTGGCGCAAAGACACAAATAAATATAAAGTATTTTATAAGGTCTTCGAAAGATGTAGAAAATAACGTAACCACGTTCCCCGTTACTGAAAATAAGTAACGTTAATACGTTACCCGTCACTGTTTTGAAAAGAGTAACGAGTGTGATATTACGTTACCAAAAATGTAACGCGATGCCGGTAACGTCATTAGTGGTAACGCGTTCCCGCCAACACTGGTTTTAGTAAATCGTTCCGATAACTCGAATAAGGATATTCGATACCCCGCTTACGAATTTGCGCATCTATCGCATTGTTATCGGGTATCGTTATCGGAGGTATCGAAACGATTTACCAAAACACTCTGTTAGTAAACAGAAAGATTGGTTAGCTTACGACGAGACATAGATAATAGCATCCTGCGTGTCCTCCGTCAATGTTGCATTAGCGTATTCGTAGAAGGTCTCCACGGTTCCGCATGCATCAATAAGCCATCGATCACGTTCAGGATCGCGGCCCATACTAGTGAACGTGTAGTTCTGGAACAAAGGGACAGCCATGTAAAGGGATCATGTAAAGGGATCTATATATGGTGCCTGGAACGCGTCTCCGACCGTTGTGTTTATACCGCATCCTAAAAAACTGGTCCCTCGATTTCCGCCCGACGATGTCGTACGTGTGCCTCGTTCCAGAGCCGTATATTGGGAGACTTTGGACAATGGGCGTAGCCGTAGGCCGCTGCCAGCGCCGAATATTCCCCCCGCAGAAACAGCGTAGGCTAAACATGCGACACAGCTTAGACAAATCGGCAGACCGCGACGTCAAAATATCGGAAACGACATTTAAAACGTGAAATAGAAGCGTTAGATCTGGGCGTCTAGGTTACAACGGCGTCAATAAAAAATCGAGAGCATTGGTTGCCCTGTTTTGGAGCACATGTTCGTTTATTCTACCGTTGAATATGAACATGACAAAACCTCACATGCGCCAAGTTTTCATTCGCCAGGAGGAGTATCTTTTTACTCTAGCGACGCTAAAACGGCTTAAATTAGTCAAGTCGCATTCTTAGAGCTGAGGACAACCGCCAAGGGCTGTTTCGCGGCCTGTGGTTGACCACGAGATGCTCGCCTATTCAAACCAATGAATGGCCAAACTCTCCCAATACACGGCTCCGTCGCGTTGTTGTCGGCCGCGACCCTAGCGGTGTCAGAGAAGCGGTCGTGCACGTGACAGATGCTTGTTCCGCTGCAAGTTGCTCTCTGGCTGGACAGTCCACGGAAACTTCGGCACCATGGAATTGGGACACCTCGACGACAGCGACACCCGCGGTATCTCGTACTTTTTTCTGTCCCTTTTAGCACCAACCGCCAGGATCGCGACATCCGGCAACGTGACAGGCCGGCTTTGGCGACGTCATTTCTTGTCACTTCGGGACTGCTTTTCATGCGTGGGCGGAATGAGACGCTAAACAAACCAGTCGAAGACGCGTACTTGGCAGTTATTACAGAGAAGCGAGAATGTTGTTCCGCAACGTACCGTGAGTTTCGTGATGCTCAGAACGATGAACTGCACTTTAGGCTTGGTCAGTTGTTTGTACATCTGGTTCACCTAAGAAAGGCCGAAATATTAGACCAATGTCGGCTCTGACCCTGGCGGCCGCGACGTCACCAGCGAGCACTACCTGACCGAGCAAACGAGCGGGACGTTTTAGATGCTCCCGCTTATTTTGACAAAATGCGCCGCAAGACAGGGACAGAAGGGAGACCAACACGAAGCGCTACTTTCAACTGAATGTTTATTGAAACAACACTCTATTTATACACCCAATCGGGCTTCTCCAGCAAGAATTCAAATTCCTTGTCTGTTAGATGAACTGACGGGGCACTTATGTATTTGTCATCCCCCTGCATTCCAATATTAAATGACTCGAACATCTCCCTCGAGATTTTACTTCTCAGCTTCTCAGTGTATTTATTTATTTTTATCGCTTAAACACGCACTTTCGAGTAATAATACAAAACTATGTATCCCTTGAATGGTTAGGATTTTCTGTGGCGCTCGTGAAATCAACATGCGTTTCGGAAGCTGATCATTCCTTCGATCGTCAGTCCAGCTAAAATTATTCAGTTCTTTAGCTGGAATGACGAGGTACCTTCCAGCTTCCGTAACGTTTCCCGATTCTGTGATCTAGATCTTAATTTTTATGATACCACACTGTCAATTTGTCGCAAGAAGAAAAACAAACATCGATACGCAACGAAGACATAAGTGAAAAATGAACTGATGCGACTAAATGTGGGTTCATGTACTTTGATCTATTAAAAATGCTAACTGATCTTCAATATCTAGCCCTGGTTTGAATCAAAGTTCTTTTGGGGACTGATAGATTAGCAATAGAACCCTGGCTGTGGGAATATGACCGCACACTGCCCCCCCCCCCCCCCCCCCCAGGCCGCCTATTATGTACCCAAACTTTGAACTTCATAAGTCGTGATCTGTTCTTTTAGCTTAAGCATCGTAACACCATTAATGTTAGCGGAAAATAGCGCAAGGACAAGGACAGAGTATAAGGCGGTAGACACACACAGCGCTGACTTACAAGTCAGCGCTGTGTGTGTCTACCACCTTCTACTCTGTCCTTGTCCTTGCGCTGTTTGTTTTACGCTAAAATGAATGACCAACTAGCCCAATCGTCAACGTTACTAAACCATTAATGTGATTGGCCTAAGCCATTTTGGCGCACGTTTCGGAGCAACCAAAACAGTGTTTTGGAGCAGCAAACGTGGCCTTTGGAGCAACCAAAACAGTGTTTTGGAGCAGCAAAAGTGGCTTTTGGAGCAGCCAAGACAGTGTTTCGAGCAGCAAAAGTGGCTTTTGGAGCAGATATTCTTCGAAAAATAAAAATACTCGTTTTAAGTGCTGTACAAACGAAGGGCACTTTCTATGGTGTTCTGATGTGACGTGTTGTGACAGAACTCGCTGCTTGTATTTTTACTGCTGAGACATCCCGCAAGTGTATAGTGCGATAGGCATTGCCGAGCAATTCCGAAAAACCGCTTGCCACCGTTTTACTGGTTTCCGACATGCCAGGTTTTCGTCTAAAGTAAGCAAACGTAAAACAATGAATTGACCCCGTAAGTGATGACGTCACAATATGGCGCCTGGGTCCAAACAAACCGTTGCTAGGGACGTTGCTATGGACTAATGCATGGAGACTCCCCATGAGGCTAGATGTTTACTTACACGTAAGTAAATAATTTTTTGCAAGCAACCTAACTTCTTGATATCTAATTACGAAGATGTTCTTGTGATCTCAGCGTCGTATTGCAACGATGAAAGTCATTTCTGAAGTATTCCACTCCGCTTTGCTTTGGCAGCAGACGACACGATAGATTTGCTGGCCTCTGTGGCAGCGGGCGTCTTCATTGAATTGCGTCGGTAAACGAGCGACAAAAGTAAGCGCATTGCAGTGGCCATAGAAACCTCGCAATGTGCGTTTTATTTTTCTGTGAAGAGCCTAGCTTAGTTCAGAGGGGTGAAAATGCCGTAAAATCAAGCCACGTCATGCAGATCACTTACGGCGACGACCTGAAGTGCATTACCGGCGTACTGCAGGCCAGTATGCGAAACAAATCGTGACGTCAAGGTAATTAATTTATTATTATTATTATGATTATTGAGGTTTTCAGGTTATTAAAGAATTCCATGTCTATCGCGATTTTTCAGTAACCATTGCAGCGATGGTTACAACCAGGTACGACGCACCCTCACATAGCGCGAGTCCACAAACAAAATTTGGGATCTCGACCGATCGCCTGAAGTGCTTTTCACACGGGTCCAATGCAGTCGTTTAGCAGACGATCATCTCGATCGACGCCCGGACTTCCGATAAATCATATTTTGCATCGCACCCCACTATGAATTCTTATAAATGTTTGAAACTCATTATATTTAGAACAAATGCAATATCACAATATCGTCCTTATTCACACGATTCAAACGACGGCGCCGGCTTGGCCTGCCGGCGTGTGGCAGGCGACATACTTCTTGCATTCGTCGTGTCCTGCAGGCATCTTGATGACCGGAAGTTGCGGTCCTAAATATTTCAGAAACAAGCGATTACTGGCACACTTCTGTCGAAACATAAATGACATTCAAGCTTTCTATATCTGTGATTTTTAGAAGTTTAAATCCTACTCCTGATTTTTGAACGGTCGGGTTTTCGTAGCGAATCCTAGCCACATGTATTTGTCCATAACAACGACCCTAGCAACGGTTTGTTTGGACCCATGACGTCACACTTACGGAGTCAATTGCAAGCACCTCAGCTGGTGTCTCTGTCACGCACTCATGTTCGCGTGCACGTGAGGCCAACTTCGGCAGGCATGCAGTTGCACGTGCTTCGTCGCGCGAGCGGAGGCAACGGCTGTGCGATCGAAACCGAAACCATGCCACTCAGCTCCCAAAATTGCCGCTAACTGATTCCCAAAATTGTACGCAAAATGCAACTGTTCGACATAGGATAAAAAGAGTACAGCGGCGCATGCTTGCCAGGCCGGCGAACACGGTACAAGCCAGGGTGTAAGATAGACAGGTGGGGAAACGAGAGCCAAATGAGCGACCGGATTGTGTCCCCCTCGGTTTTCTCTTTTTCTCTGGCGCCATCTATGTGGAGCACCGCGAACTGTCACTCCGGGTGGGTGACCGGTGGTGATCGGCTAAACTGACGGAGATGATTTCTCGTGGATTTTCAATGGAGGACTGTCGTACTATCGGTTTATTTTGCGCACTCTCCCATAGAGTTTCGTGCAAATCCGATTCCAATTTTTTTCCTCTCGCCGCAGCGCCATCTGTCGCAAATGGGGGTACCCGCAAGCAGACGAGTACACAACCCGGTCACGGCGCTGCGGTAGGTTTCTATGGGCCGTTTCCCCACCTGTCTATCTTACACCCTGGTACAAGCTAAACATACACGAAGAAAGCTCGAGGTACACCAAAGCACTTAAGAGTTGTGAATGCGAAAGCATGCAAGCCACTCGTCCACTCCCTTTTTCGTCTGCTGCGTACTTTTTGTCGCCGGTAGGCGCGTGTGCTCCCCTGGGCACGGTGATCTTGTACGCTACGTGTTAAAGGGAACATGAAGGCAATTTAATTTTTTTTAAAAAGAATGTGTTTTCGGAAGCATTGGGGTCCTGGCATGCCACATAATTTTTTCTAGAACGTTGTGACTCTTATTTCTGTACCTGCAAATAAATTTGCGAAACCGAAACAAACATCCAGATTTCTTCCCTTTTTCGCCCCTGGAAAGAGAAGTGACGTCAAGGAGCACTGTCGGCATCGGTAGGATTTAGTGCACACTCAGTGTGGTTCCCGTATTTCGCTCTAGTGTACGGCGGTCTGTGAAGAAAACCTGGAAGAAATGGACGACAACGCCGCGCTCGCAAACGAGTTTGAGCTCCCGTTCAGCGACCTCCCGCCGACTGAACGTGAGATGCTGCTAAGGACGCAGAACTCTGGATTAGCGCTTTACGAGGGCGCCCCAGACTTACCTGACACCGCTGTCCACAGCTCTACGCAAGACGACCGCGCGCAACCAAATGCTGCGCATTGCTGCATCATTAGGCAGTTTATGCAAACTAACGTCGCCCGATCGACCGCACGTCTTTAGCCGACCTTTCGCGCAACCTACTACTGCACATTAACGCGGCATGACTGGTGAGACACCAGTTCACAAGGCGAACACGAGACGACGCACTAAACCAAAACCAAAAGTCCGCCGCCCCCGGCGCTCGTACCTTTTTCTTTTTTTGTCCATGGTTGCTCGATGCTTGTTACGCGCCCGAGGTAGCAGTGCGGGATGCGTTCAACCAGTGACAAACGGAGGGATCGCTTCAGATTATGCTTTTATACACGGTATGAAACCTATTAATTCCCAACTACAACTTCAAAAGATTATCCAAGGTCCAAATAAAAATTTTTCATCACATCTCACCACCGAAATTGAAACCAAGAGCGCGTCTATCGTTTGAACCAATCGCCAGACGAGAAGCCCGTTGTCGTCACGCTTCGACGGCGCACTTTAGTTCACCTTTCTGCCGCCGCCCCGGTGGGGTCTCAGGCATCGTTCCCGGCGCTATGATTACCGCGCCTGTTTGCTCGATTGGTGTGGCACCCAAACTTCTGTTCGGGCTAGAACTTGGTTAACAGTATCTGAGACGTGCCTGACATCCATTTCAATCGTCGAATAAAACTTCGAAACTGCCTTCATGGTCCCTTTAACGGCGCGCTGATGGACACGCAGCGCCATGGAGTGAGCGGTCGTGGAAACTAACGAGCGCAACGGCCAAAGGGAGCCCCGCCGACGCTGGCCAGCCAATAGAACCGAGGCGAAATCCATCAGCTTTACTTCGCTCCTTTCGGATCGGGGAAACTATACTTTGTCTCATCGTACGATGGATTGATGCCAAAGCCACGGGCCGCCAGGTCCAATCACGTTACCCGCTAAACTATGACATCTAAACATTGATTAGGGGTGGACGAATAATGCTCCGAATCAAAAAGCGCTGCATCATTTCTATAGCTTTGAGACTGCAAAGCGTCTGTATGTCGTGGCTTTCTTTGCTATGTAAAATTGATGAGTCACTCAGTGCTATTCAATTCGAACCACTGTCCACCCATACCCATTAGTGATCCTAGACGGGGGCACCGACACGTGCATCGAAGCGAGATACCACGCAATTTCTAAGAGGCTTGTGATTGGATCTGGTGGCCCGTAGCTTTTACATTTAGTCCATCCTAGAGTGATACGAAGTTTCTATAGGTGCCGTTTTCGCGCTTCAAACTGATGACGTCAGCTCGCTGCATGGGGCAGTTAATGCTTTCGCTTTAAATAAAAGAATCTGAGCGCATCGATGCACCCAGCCTCAAAAAGTTCTTGGAACGCTTTGCGCGACGACTGAACTCGAGACAAACAAGCGCGCTGTGCGGGTTCAGCGTGCAGACATCGCCTTCTTTGCTTCAGCTCACTTCTCTTCACCAACTTTATTTTGCAGCTCATTTTTCACGTACCGGGGTCCCTCTCGAAAGAACGACCTCCGAGAGGAACCTAGATAATCAATACTTCGACACAGCAGTCTTTGAATTAAAAATATATATATTTTTTTGTAGTAACCTATGATTTAAACAAGAACAGGAATGTTGATGAACATACGGTGGTACTTAGTTTCATTTTAGAAAGCGCCATATCTGCAGCGACGTCGAGACGGCAACACTCGACATCGCGCGACCACGGTGACTGTAAGGCAGGGACCAAATATAGCTCTCCCACAGCCGTTGCTTCAGCTCACAAAGTAACTGCCACGCGCAAAAACGTGGTTTCGTTTCACAGCATGACGGCATGCCTTGTTCCCGGGCATGCCGTCATTCCCGGGTACCAGCGTCGGGGCGTCTGCACACACCTGCGTCTGTCGTTGAAAATATTTTAAAAAAGGACGCGAGACGAGACCCACGAGATGACAAGAGCGCGAAACGGGAGACGGCAAGAAAACCATGCAAGACAGGGTGGACAATTGAAGCAGTGTGCTTTGTGTCGGGCGACCGCTTCCGCCATATAACACAGGCGTGCTCAATTACTGTACTCAGTTTAGTTTCGGATTTGAAAGGCAAACGAAATTGTTTTTTTGGCGCGAACTTGGCGCAGATTACTCATATATTTTGCAAAATCTGGCAGGATATGTAGCAGCGTTAGCCCCTTGGCGCAGTTTGACGCAATTGGCGCAGCTATCACATCACTGTGAAACAGTCCACATTATTGTAAACAAAGTAATTACGGCAGTAGTGTGGTCCTACCTAACAAAACCGCCTTTCCTAGAATGTGTTTCGGAATGACAAACCTCGGTGTAATTGTGTGTGTAGCGAAACTCATAATGCCAATAAGCCCCTTTCGATACGAGTGCGCCGGTTGCTGGGCAAATTATCTGATTCCGACATTGTTTGAGAACCTTGTCGAAGCACTTATTGGACACGAGGGATGCGTCCGTGTTCGGCGAGGACTCGGATCCCATCACACGTTTCTTTCCCGAGCAATGACGACCGCCAATGTTGCTTGACGACGCTTTTAAAAAAGGGGATTTCATGACGAAAACGCCATTATTTTTCGCTATGATCCCACGATCTCTTACATCAGTCAATGAGAATGATGTGTAAGCGTTCAATCAGACTACGTCCCACTCCGCTTCGATAATTTAGAGGGTAAGATTGGGCTCGCGCCTCGCTCAAATTAGCAGGACTCCCTGATCGCTCAATTCTGTCTTTTTTTTTTTTTTTGCCTCGTTTTTTGTTTTAAAACATTTTCTCGGAGTGCCGAAAATGCGTTCTACGTTGAATGTTTTTTTTTTTCAATCCTCACTTTTAAACGATTGCACCCGTTTTTTTCTGCTTTCTGCTAAATTAACACCACGTACAGCCCTATGTGTTTCGAACCATTAAATTTCACAGTTAAGATCTGTAGACAACTATTATAAAACAAATTCGTCATACCTGACTCATTAAAATGCCAAAATACTTAATGAAATCATCCACTGTTTTCTTTGGGCCGAAGGAAGGGTCTGCAAATATTCTGACTTCTACAAGAAATTCTTCAGGTAAGTCCTCGAGTTTTCTTTCAGACACTGAAAAGGACAAAAAAAAAAAAACAAAAAAAAACTTCACCTACCCCATTGCACGTTCTGCGCTAGAATATATAGCCTCCTATAAGTAACTAAGCATACAAATAATCTTTGACATGAATTGACAAACACTCATCAATTATATTATTAACAACACTAGTCGCATGACTGGGTATTTCCCACGTAACATCCTCGGGGCACCTTCAACTTTCAAACTTCTGCCCTAGAGAACTCTCGTCCACTCTAAACTTGAATATGCTTCTTCAGTGTGGGATCCAACCTCAAATTTCCTACTAGTAACCTAGCATCAGTTCAAAACAGTGACGTGTGTTTCATTTTCTCTAACCACTCTCGTCTATCGAACGTACCATCAATCAAGTCTATTTTAAATTTTCTCCACCTTGTCCTTTTCAGAAGAGTATCAGGACAAGCTCTCACTTTCTCAAAATGTACCATTAGAACTTATAACTATAAAGTTGGCGTCTTACATACAAACGTAGTATTTCTCTCATACAGACGCACTTCATAAAGTAAATGTCGCTTATCTTCTCTATAACACTTTTTCTAATTTATCTATTTGTGCCAAAGACAAGAGCTGAATGGAACCACCTGCCGACCTCAATTGCCCTTGTGACCGTACGGCCACGTTTTTAAAGTCGCCATTTAAGATCACTTTCTCTCCTATGCTCCGTTTCCCTTTAAGTCCGAGCGCAATCGATGCCACGATCCGGTGCAGCCAATCAGGCAGCAGCAAAAGTGCATCGTCACGGCACTCGTCTACTTTGTGGATTGGCTATCACTGGCTCGACCAGTCGCGCACAGAATGAAGTTCGGGATCAGGGCGCATTCGTTTTGCGTGATTTGTTTAGGCGACGATAGCCAATCCACACAAACGACAAGAGACAGGGCGATGCAGTTTTCGCACTGTTTGATTGGCCCTTCGTCGAAACGCATATCGTTGGATGCGGTCGGACTTGGAGTGACACGGATTACGTGAACCTATATACATTCGTTGAGGAACACAGTCAATGCGAGGGCGAGCTGGCGGAAGTTTATCGTGGTGACTTTAACCCGTGACTGCAGGGCGGAAAAAGTAAAAATGTATTCAGTGCTAGCGTGGGAACCGTGACAAATGCGTGTCTAATTAGAGACCCCTCTTTTCTTGTTTATTATTTTTTACCAAAAATATCAAGCAAAGTTTTTTAGGTCTTGAGTGAAAGTCAATTTGCACGATGCTGCGTGATCAAATCCTGAATTTTGTGCTGGGATTGCGATCTTCCAAAAAATGGGAACCGAGTGTTTGGAGAGACTAATTGACAAACGAATCGTGGTCGACTTCTTTTTGGAATTAGAAAAGAAGCGGTGACAGACACGTATTTAGTTAAAGACCTGTCTGTCCGTCTTTCTTTTTTTTTTCTATTTCTGATAACATTTTTCGACCTGCCCCTTTTTCTGGTTAAAGACATCATGATAAACTATTTTGTTTGCTATTTTGTCTAATGTTTTGTAAATTTTTATGCATTTGTTATGACTGCATTCCTCTCCCTTCTGTAAGACTTTCGGGGACTTCAAGGTAATAAAATAAATAAACATAATCTCACTTGCCTTCAATGGTGGACAGGCCAGCATCCTGTGCTGGACAAAGACTTTGGTCTAGAACTGTGTGAAAAGGCATGGCATCGTATGATAAATTAATATAATATTTTTGATATTGTAATAACTTAAAATAGTAATAAATCAAACAAATATTATTGTTAAATACTGTTATGCTTGAATGGAAAGCTGAAGTAGTGCTTCTTAGGTTTAAGTAAAATTTAATTTGCACAATGCTGGTCACTAAAGGTGCTTACACTCATCTGAAAGCAAATTTCTTCCAATAGTTTCTTTAAATTTGACTCTTACCAGAGTTGTCTTCGAGCTGATTATCGATGTCATCAAGAGGTGATAATGTGTGCGCAACGAGATCATCTTCTGACCGGCGACCTGACGCAATCGGCTCGATTGAGAATCTGTTGTTGAGGATTCCCCTCTACAAAAAAGATCGGTCGTAAGCCACGCATTAGAAAAGGCCTTGTGTGCAACGATGTATTTAAACGAAGCTTAGATGCTGTTCTATCAAAAAGAGAATTAAATCATACCACTTCCACAGCTCCCTTTTCTTCATCAACAAACACAACAGAGCTGTGGTTTCGGTCTCGATAAAAGTTCTTTTCTAGGTCCTTGCCATTCATCTGCAAGGAATTTATTAAACGATGGAATAAATTGTGTAATGACTTCGCAAACACTTGCTTTCCCGAAAAAAATATTCTTTATTTCATTTTGAATGCATCATATTTACCTTCCGCTTACAAATTTATCACGAGGTTTGCTAGTTGTTATGCCCCCATTGAAATATCAAATTAAACTTATGACCACATATGATAATCATGTCATAATCTCCTGTTTTTTCGTGGTTATGAATAGAAATATTTCCTGGATGAGGATGCACAGAAAACACATTTATAATTTTGATGACTGCTCAATGATTTCGTTATACAATCTTATATGTGGGTCATCAAACTAGCCGAGATGGTGTAAGATACACCGTAAATAGTTAAATATTAGACAGGGAGGACCTAAACCTCTGAATGTATGTCGATACTGGTTCTACTGAAGGTTCTATAAAATGTTTATCCGGTTGAGAGGCTGGATAATTTTGTTTTGCTTTTTTTTTTAGCTGAGAAAGTGATATTAACCATTAAAATTACTCGCGGTGACTAGATTCAATAGCTGATGAAGTTAGCACAGTCAATCAGAATGTATACAAGCACGTCTGTCAAGGAAACAGTGTAGGAAAACCCCATCGTCGGGGAAGTTTCGCATAATCGTAATACACAGTGCGGCAAATTTAGCAGTCCTGAACAATGGAACAAACGACTACGTAAATTTTCGTCGTAGCTTGGATTGTACAAGTACAGTTCCAAACGGCAGAATTAAACTCATGTTTACTACGGATAAAAGAACGATATAAATTGAATATACAAGTTGGCAACGTCACACATAGATGCTGATTAATCAGCATTTCAAACTAAACATTCACTAGCGCAAGCGCGTTGTAATTACAATTACCTTAATTTGAAATAGTAAAAGAGCTGGCAATAGTAACTAAACTTAATTAAAACGTCTAAACTTTCACTACGTTGTCACAAGTCGGGTTATCAGTCACGTCCGTCTTAAAAGTATGATGGCGACATCTTGCAGATCGAAAAAAAAAAATAAAGTTACCTAGTACACCTATCCTAAAGCATTTAACTCGTTTCAACAGAGGATTCATTGGAGGTTATAGACCAGTGTCCGGAAGTGCTCTTTTCAGCCTCGACCGCAAGGAGCAAAAGCGACCAATAATTTCGAACCCAGCCGCTCACGGGGAGGGGGGGGGGGGGGGGGGGGGGGGGGGCTGCGTCGGCCTGCGTCGGCTGCTTCGAGCCGCGGGCTTCTTCGCTGGTGTGCCTACTGCCGTTTCGCCGGCATCGGTCCTGTTTACCGCGGTATGTGAGTATAGTGCCCGTAATGTGAGAGCCGTGTGTCCATACGCCACTTTGCCGCTGTTGGTTTCCATCTAGCCGAGCCAGAAAACATCTCGCGACGATTTGACCGTGCCGCGAGTGACGAAGAAAAAGCAAACATGGCGACGGTTTGTACGATTGCTTTGGTGGCTCCGGTGTTGCGTGTCTTCAACGTCCGGGTGAGAAGATTCCCCTGCCCTTCGAAGTTATTGCAAGCTCCACGAGTGGCACGAAAAATGTGGAATCATCGTCTCAACTACAAATAAGCAGGCCTTCACGAGCAACGACGATGCCGAGCAGGCGCTCGGCACCGTAGTGTCGTCAGATGCTCTACAACGCCGAAGTATTTTCATTTATCATTTGGAATGGCTTCAAGAGTGTGAAATTAATCTATTTCGCGGAATGTTAACGCCGAGGCGAGTGCCCCTAGTTGCAGTACCGTTGTCGCGCAAAGTGCACAGAAAACCAGGTGGGGATGGCGGTGGTGCTCTTTGATCGCTTTGATCTTGCGGCGTCGGGTTCATGGAGTCCGGAGTAAACGTACGTAAGCGCGTCTTCTGGATCGGTGTTTTGGACTGCCTCAAAACTCTTTCTCACGGGCAACTTCCTTGTGAAGCTTAGTAGCTCATTACACCTCGTCGTCGACTGCGCTCATTTGACTACGGCACAGTAGCCTGCGTGATGTGAATTTCACTGCCTAAGATCTTTGGTGTGCTGTAACGAGGGCTAATAAAATATCACCGCGAACTTCTGAACAAACGAGTCGAAGTTTCGTCTGTTATCTTAACTGATCTCCTGTCACAATATTAATCAGTAGCGTTCCTAGACTCTGCCCCACAGGCACCCTGCTTCGTTGTCCGATAGTAAGCGTCTCCCGGTACCTTGTAAAACTCCAGCTCCCACTTCAAGTAAGTACCATCCTTTAGAACTGGCAATTAATAGTTTCGAACCCAGACGCTCGCAGCGTGTGTTTGTGTGTGTGTGTGTGTGGGGGGGGGGGGGGGGGGGGAGTGACGGGGGGACGCGTGTTAACATACTCGGAGCCTTCGTTTACGCTACTTCGCGGCGGCAGACGAGGCGACACATTGTAAAAGAAAGCTAATCCGAACTGTCCATGTAACTAGACCCATTCGCTAATAGGAACGCCACCATTCGCTAGTCATTCGATGAAACGTCGTAGTCTCGTTTTCATTCGCTAAAACGTCGTTCGATCAAGTGAACGCCTCCCACTTATTTCGGCTCGGCAGAGCCGCGCTGCCGCAGAAAGGCAAGTAGATCGCGAAAATCGGTCTCAACCCTGCCACGAATGTAGTGTCGTATACAAGAAGCCAACAATGAAGCATTTAAAAGCTACAAGAAAGCGGTAGCGAAATTTTTACTAGGCAATGAACCCGGACTGAAACGCGGATGTCAAGGGTCAGCAGACACCGAAAACATCTAAGACAAGAAAGGTTTTCCCTTGTTTTCTTGATCGAGATGCGTTCTCGAATAGTCACGACATCTTATCTGTTGAAGAACGGGCCGCAGAGGCTTCTGGTGAAGACTTCTTTCACGATATTTCGGTGCATTCATACAGCCTGCCGTATCCAGCTCCCCAAAGCAACGCCGCCAACGCAGCCCCTCCCCCCCCCCCTTCCTGCCTGCCAGTTCTTTCCGCGTGGTGGCGCGAGCGCAGATAAACATACCGGCGCCCTGGAATTGGCGCGGACACTGGTCCATTACTGTAATGAAGAAGTTTCACGTCTAAAATTAGATTACTTTGTGCCAGCCTATACTGTATATAATATCAACGAAGCGTTTACACGGCACCTAGAATTTGGCGCATTTCGTGTCATTGCTAACCAAGATCACAACGAACGATTTGATGTGAATATGTAGAAGCTCTTGTCAGTTACGTTCATTGCATTTCTCATGCCTGGATGGTGAAACCTTGGCAGCACCGAAATTGTTTATATAAATAAGATTTTTTTTAGGGCTGTACATATTTATTTTTAAAGCGGCGAACGGCTTTATTAATACGGTATGTGCATGTTAGTTATACGGGTCTAATCCTAATATGTCGAATAATAAGTTGATCTGCTCATTTGCTTTTAGAGTGCAGCTCTTAGGCGCCCGTTTCCGGCTTGAGCGGCGTCGGCGTCGCCGTCGCCGTCGGCGTCGCCGTCGCCGTCGGCGTAACTGTGCGGTGCATTATGGGACGTTTTCCAAGAAGATGTCACACGTGAAGTCACGTGTGACGTCACGAGGGTTACCAGTGACGTCATAGATGACGTCACCGCGTGTTGCCTTATGGATAAATTTTCCCGCTAAATTCCAGGGTAAAATTTCCCCACTAAATTTACCGGAAAAACTTCGCCGCTAAATTTAGCGGAAAAAATTCCCCGCTAAATTTAGCGGAAAAGCTTCCCCGCTAAATTTAACGAAAAAAATTTCCCCGCTAAATATAACCGAAAAAATACCCCCGCTAAATTTAGCGGAAAAATTTCCCCGCTAAATTTAGCAAGAAATTTTCCCCCCTAAGTTTAGCGAACAAATTTTCCGGCGAAATTTAGCGGAAGATTTTCCCAGCTAAATTTAGCGGAAAAGATTTCCCCGCTAAATTTAGTGTTAAAATTTCCCCACTAAATTTAGCGGGATACCCTAAATGGGAGGCGAGCAGGAGAGGAGGAGGGGAAGGTACGTATGAGGAGGAGAAGCATATTCTCTTTGCACCTTCCCCTCCCCCTCCTCGAGAGCTGCGCTCTAATTTAGTGTTACAGGGGATTGTAAATGTCTCATTTTTTTATTGAATATACATCAATATGGAGTTCAATCGAAAACGTGCAGATGAATGAACTGTACTTGATCGAATGAAACAAATCCTATGAAGCCGCGGAAGGACCAAATCTATTGTAGAGCCGGGATTTGAACTCCGCGCCTCGCAATATTAGAAAGTTATTGAGCGTTCTGAAAAACCACTATATTAGTCGATTTTCAAAAGGCCTCAAGCAAGTGTCAAGTGTGTGAGGGTGCTAATGTTACCACCTGCGATGCAGGCGCAAGGCTTGCTTTACAAAAACATAAATGATAAAAGAAGCAAAAATCGTGCGGGCGCGTCGGAGTTGCATACATTTTGGCGACCCAGAGGCCAAATTCACGAACTTCTTATAGCTTATGAAAACAGCTAACAAGATTATGAGGAAAGGGGCTTTCTCGTACCGAAAAACAAGAACGATTGGTTGTTGCTATAACAGCCAATCGGAGCGCTCTTCAAGAGCGAAGGACGTGGATTTTGGATCACGTGCCTTTTCCGGCAGAGCTTGTTTGGGTATCGTGTCAGTGTGGTGTAATGTCGACATAATTATATCAATTTAAACAGTCCCAAATACCCGGCACTGCCGAGGACGGGATAACCGCCAGGGTCGTTTGCGACGAACTCGATCGCTACAAAGTCAACGCTACTACCATAGTTTGCTAAAAGGAGACGGTCCGCATGGCTCTGCAAAGCGTCGCACAGGAAACCAAATCGCCGCGGCGTTCTTCGTGACCCCGGGAATGCAGGAGGGAGACGACGTTCAGGGAGATACGATTGAACTACAAGAGTGTCAGCGAGAGCCACGTAAATGCCCGTTCACATTGGGAGCGGAACCGCTCTGGCACCGCGATATTGGACTGCGTCTTGGTAACCCTTCGGGACCGATCTTTTATAACCGGTTATACGAATCGCTGGGCCACTCGGCAACCGCAGCTCGGTGCTGACGTGACGCTCGGCAGAGGAAGGTTGGACCGGGATTGCGTTGCTCGCGAAAAGTGCTCTAATTCGACATGTGTTGGTGTACCGTCATGTGGGAATAAAAACGACATACTGAATAAAGTGTACGTACCTATGTCGCGAATCAATCTATAAGGCGTTTATTTGAGCACTATAACACAGAAAATGGAAATGGAATCGAAGGGAGTGGACCCCTTTTCGACGAGATCGTTCACCACCGCTGATTCCGAAAATAAGGGGACGACAAGTGCAAGAGTCTGACCCTCTTCCCTAAAAATAGAGGTCAGGGTTCAAACTATTCATACGGGAAGGGCCCACAAAAATCGCGCGGGCATATTACGCTAGGCAAGCCAGCCGTTCGTGGTTAGACGGCCTTGGCCAGGGACCGTCAAAGCAACGTTGTGTTGGAGTACATTGCGAGGCCTAGCCCTCCTTCCGCCCTTGGCGATCGCTTGGTCGATCATTAAGAAGTTTTCGTAGATCGCTTTCGCCGTCCCGCAACGCTCTCCTTAACCCGCTACGGTACCTGGAACTCTACAGTCAAGGCCATCGGGGCGCAGGCGCAATAGCGGCTTCTTCGTCACGGAGGGCTTAGAGGAGGGGAATACGAGGTCTCCGGAAACTTCCTATTGCCGATGTAGCTTTTTCCGGGTATCCGTACCAGTTGCAGCGTTCGTCTGCGCGGCGTTCAGTCTCGGGTACTTATTGGTATTCTCTTCCTGCTTGAAGTTGGGACGCGCGCAGAGAGCACGTAAAAACATAAATGCCCGTTGGTCGATCGTCGCGACGACGAAAGCGACCGATGTTGCCGGCCATGGTGATTTGATCGTAAAACGTGCGTAAGACACGTCTGGAGCTGTCGTAGGATTTCACCGTACCCTACCCAAAACTTACGATGATTTCGCTTCGGGAATCCGAATTTGTTCTTAGGTTTTGTCGCACGCACCCGTTGTGTCATATAAGATCGTTTCGTGAATCTGGCCTCAGACAAAGGGAGCACGTGCACCAACCTTTTTTACAAATGACTGATTTAGGGGTATTTGTCGAAGCTCAGCAAGCTTCTAAGCGAAACCCTATGTTTATTTGCAATAATAAAAAGCGCATTAAACAGCTAAAGCTACGTGTACGACTTATCATTATTCCATATATTAGGTCCCCTGTCCACATAAATCACCCGAAAAGACAGCATTAGTGGAGCTTTTACGGCGTTTATTTAGAAAATTCTGTAAAGTCTAAAACACGACGCCCCGTTGAAACCAGCAAGACTCGAATGTACTCACGAGTATCTCGTGCCGATTTACACCGTCGTCTTCTGAGAAAACAAAGTTGTCCGAGAACACTCTGCTCTTTTCGAGGCTCAGCACGAGTCCGGGTCGAATGTAGAGGGTTCTTTCGCCATTCAGATCTCTGGATTCAATGATTCTCGGGTACACAATGTTCTCCGAAGGAAGCCCTGCTGCTGTATAAGTGCATTGATAGCTTAGATTAGGTCCGCACAGGCGTCGGATGTAATTCTAGAACTCGAGTTCTCAAAATACACCATTTTCAAAAGTCCACACCAACGCCTGTCTACCATTGCTTGGTCACGAACTCTGAGCTCGTATTTGACAGGAGTGTGACGTCAGCGTTCGGCCAGGGCTCGGAACCAACCAGATGCCTCGTGTCCAAGCAATGGCGACCACCAATGTTGCTTGACGAACTTTAGAGAAGGGTCTATTGCTCACGGTTATGCAGACCACAAACAACAAAACCAGTACGATTTCTTCACAACTTCCCTCAGCCGCCATCGTATTGTTTAAGGGGAGCACCGGCGATTTCTCGAGGTACCCAAACTAAAGCAGGTTTTCGGAATATCCAGGCATCACTCTTCCCAGCATGCTATTTCCTATATCTAAATTCAAACCAGCTACTACGAAAACGTCATACAAGAAATGTAACCAATATTAACATTTTTCTCGCTTGCCGGGGGGTTACGTCACACGTTGTATAAACTGCAAGTGGATCAGGCAGTCTAAAAAGTTAAAGCAGTTTGCGCGTTGTTTTTTGTCTTTTCTTTTTTTTTCTTGCGTGAGTTTACCCAGCATTGATTTCAAACCAATACAATTCTTTTAATCCGTCTGAAACACACTGTACTATGATATTGTAGTGAGTGCGTATTAAGCTTTTGACGTCAGGTTTTTCATTGTGTCCGGCAAAGCATCTTAGTCTCTCAGAACAAATTTAAAACATTAACAACTGCGCGAGAGAAAAATCAATGTGACTTGTAATTTTGGTTACTAATTCCAAAATTGTTAATGTGTTTAACCACATTTGAGGCAGGTCAGTTTCTACCAAACTTTCGCTAGAGAGTTTAGCGTGTTTAGACATAATCTAAGTAGCTCATCGCGAACAAAGCTGTTTGGTTCACGTCGTTTATTATCTAATACCACAGGCATTGTCACACTTACCTGCTAGGACAGCACCCAGCATCAGTGCTACAACGAAACCAGCGTCCTCTGACATTCTGCCTGATCGCAGGCTTCCAGTGCACGTTGCTGTCGGCAATCTCCCGGACTTTTATGGTCGTCCCGAGTCATCCCCGTAATCAACGCGGTCTTCCAGAGTTTAGAACACGACACCAGTATGACATTTCGGAAGTATTGAAATGAAAAAAAAATATGCATCCATTGTCCATTGTCACGCGATGCCTCCTGCCACTCTTGAAGGGTTAATAAACGAGAGTCAATTAATCATGTCGCGTACGTCATGTACTTGACTAAACTCCGTCCCGGCAACGTGTTTGATCACCTTAACTTAAAAAGTTTTCTAAATTGATAAGTCCTCGCGAAACCAAAACTAAAGGTTAGCTCCAAAAGTCCACGGGAGAGTCAAGAGAACACGTCAAGCAACGACGGCTTGAAAATAAAATTTTAAAATGTAAAACGACTTTACGACTTTTGCAGTTAAAGGTTCTGTAGCGAAAGTTCAAAATGACTTATAAAAATCTTCATCTTGACACAGGCGAAGAAAAAAACTGTCGTAGAGACATAACCTTTAAACTTGAGGTATAATGATCCAGCGAACGGCCCAAGGCATTTCGGACAAACAGTGCAAAAACGAAGCGTTGTCTGGAAAGAAAGATTAAATTAAATTTTTATTATTTCATTATTTGTAATTGACAACTGCGATTCATAAATGACAGTGCTCAACGAAGTCAGAACTTCCACACATGAGCGTGTCTTTGGACAACCCTGTCTGAATCCGGGAGCTATACAATAAGCGCAATTTCGCTCAAAATTTTCCCGACAGCTTGACCTTCTCTTTTTTACCGCTGCTTAACTTGTCTTCCGCTATCCGCTTTTTCTCCAGTTATATTTGAGTGCCTTGAGTTATTGATTGAGAGCCGTGCCCGAAGACAAGACGTCTTCAGCAGCAGAGATATCCATCGTCTTTAGGTGACAATACTACAGTGGTATAGGTGTTTGAACAACACAGCCTGGGACTGGGGGAAGTTTCAATGCGAGACATTAGAGAAGAATTGTCAGTACAATCATCATCATCAGAAGGACTGCGGAATTTTCAGGACGCAATTGACATTCACCCAAGCTCCAAAGTTATGCTGGTGCTAAAAAAAACGACAAAACATCGACCACAATTTCGTGTCTCGGATGTCAACCCAGACATTTTATCTGCGAAGTTCTTCACAACACTTCAAAGACAAAACCCAGAGGTCGAAATTGCACTTCCGTACTTCCATCACCGAATTTCATTAAAAAAATAATCGGGGAACAACACTTACATTTTTTAAGTGAACGCCAAGGTCTACGAAGAAACTAAACGAAAAAAAAATAACTGCGCCTAGGCTGGACATCCTGCTCCGTAACAGAGAACTTCTATGTCCCAAGGAGCGACAAATGTTGCACCACAGGACATACTAAAGCCAAATATGCGTCACAGATAATCTTCTGCTCCACCTGTGCGGGCAACCACTTTGCACAAGAGTGCAGAATAACAAACTGCGAGGAGGGTAAATGCCGTGCATGTATCAACCGAAGGGTCAATGCCAACCACCCTTTCGGAGCACGCGAATGCGGTACACGCGCCTTCCATGTTTCACAACTCCGGTCTCGAACAGATTGCCCAAAATAAGTAAAAACAAATGTAATAATAACAAATAACATTAGAATTTGAAGAAAAAAATTAAGAATGAACAGCCCGAGTAAAATCTATAAGCAAAAACACCTCACTAAAGCAAAACAACAACAACAAAAATATGTGGGTGGTTGATTAATAAATAAAATATCACAAATTAACTTGGAGATCTCAAGGGCTGCCACTAATAATCTTGTCATTATATACACTGAAACTAACGCTGAATTCATTCTAATACAAGAACCACCATTACAAGTATTCTAAACTCGAAACCGTGTTTCCACTACCCCAAAACCCCAAATGTGCCATTATAGCTAGAGAGCAATCTTGTTCAATCTTTTCAGAACTACTTGAAAAAGAACTAATAGCCTTTCAGTATACATATTCAAACAAAACAGTAACAATATTAAATGTCTACATATCTCCTACAACTTCATTTAACACATTTCGAACGAGACTTCAGTCAATCATAACAATAAAAAAAAAACGACATAATCATTGCCGGAGATTTTAATGCAAGACACACCAATAGGGGGTACAAAGTAGATGATGATCGTGTGGATCAATTAAATATTTTTGTATTAACGCATGATCATATCAAATTAAGCGATTAACACTCCATTCCTAGATTCTCTACTGTAAATGGAGAAATTTTGATAGACCCTTTAGTCATAACCCCTTCTTTAGCTCACAACGCTACACATTGGAAAGTATTAGAAATTGATAATTTAAGTGATCATAATTGGATTGCCTTTAGATTCTTTAATCAAAGACAAACCATACAAAAAATTAACCTTAAAAAGCTATTAAAAAATAGAAGCACTTATACAATAAGATGATTGGTTTAAGACCTGGGTACACTACTCACCAGAATGGATAGATCACATTTTGGATACATTATACAGAAAATTCTTAATTTGGACAAAAAAGTGTGAACGAAATGTTCGTTCCGGAAATCGCACAGTCCCCTGGTGGTCAGTCGATCTACAAATCATGAGATCTTAACCTTATGCACTGAGAAAAGGGTACCAAAGATCATATAACACAGAAATTCGATCACGGCAAAAACAAATTTATTACGACTACCGAACTACATACAAAGAAGCCATCCTTCACGCTTGAATTTCACTTGGCAATAATTATGCTCCGCTACCAAAAAAAAAGTCTATATTCGAAATCCCATACAAACATCCATTTAATAAGCTAAAATCACCACTAACTTTTCCACCAATATTGAAAGAAAATATTACTATTACTTCTTCATTTAATTAATCAGTTCAATATATTTTAGGCTCAGTGATCCAACAGACGACATCACAAAAGATTCATTATATATAACTAACCTATGGTAATATTTATGCACTCCCTAATTTTTTTCTCCTGATGTTCAACTAACATTTCAAGAAATATCAACATAATAAATAAACTTCGACTGAAATCCGCCCCCGGATTAGACAAAATTAATGTTACGTTTCTTAAAGTTTTCTGGCATAATCACCACGAATTTTTCTTAGCGTTATTCAACTCTTGTCTAACATCTGGATATTTTCCAAAAGTGTGGAAGAAAGGGAAAATAATACTACTAAATAAGAAACGATAAAGACAAAGCAACACCCAACGCCTATCGCTCAATTTGCTTAAATTCCATACGCGGAAAGGTTTTACAACGTGCACTCTATAGCAGATTATATTCCTTTCTTAAAGGGCAACTCCGCTCAATTCCGAAGATTTCGGGATAATGAGTGATTTCGAATTAAAAAGCCCTAGTAAAAGACACTACGTCTTTTGCTTCGCGAAAAATGGGATATATATTTTTAAATCTAATTTTAAACACGAGCGGAAATCGAAACCGAAACTTCGGCTCCGTCCGGCAACATTGGCCTCAGGCCGCCATGTACATGGCCATCACGTCGTGCGAGAGGTCACGTGGTCCTCGGCCCAACGACGGGCGGGATGGGGGCGGGCGGGCGTGCGGCAGGCGCGAGTGTCGTCTGCACCGCACTCTTCGCCACGTTTCGGTGTCTACGGCATTCGACGACGTCTGCACAACTGCGGCCTAAGTCTGGGACTCTGCGCACGTGGTGTCCATAGTGTGGACGAAACTCCGAGAGGCAATAATCACAAACGGTGAGACGACGACGGTGGTTGTGACGCGGAAGCCGGCGGTAACGGCGGGACCACGGCGGGCGGTTGGTCTGCTCCCAAGAAGCGCGCTGCGCAGGCGCGTACGTCAATCACGTGGACACCGCTGAGCGCCGAAAGGCAACGTTGCTGACGTCACGCGCTACGCTCGATCGGAGAAGTAAAAACAAGCACAAGGGGGCCATGTAGATGGCGTTTAGCTCAATGTTGGCTCCGCCCATAACGTAACCTTGACTGCGCTGTTGGTTGCGCCTGAATTCGCCCGCTCGAGTCAGCCGATTTCGGCAACTTGGTGAGTTGCAAAGTTTGCCGGACCGTTTAAGAAACATTTAGACAGATCTGCGTCGTAATATTTGACGTGTGGTCTTCCTAGGCGATACTGAAGAGGACTGCATTGTTTTTTCAAAACCAAAAATGAAGCGGAGTGGCCCTTTAACTAAAAAAAAAAAAACTACTACACCCACTACAATTTCGGTTCACACATCTTGCATCATCTACACAAGCTATGTTCACATGATCTACACATTACAAAAAAATATATATAAACCAACAATTGTCGCGTTGGTATCCCTAGATTTCACGGGAGCATTTAACAGCTAAGTTATCCGGTAGTTTTGGCCTATTTAAAACACCATTCTCGCCTTAGTAATCTATACAATATGCTATACTCATTCTTCCTCGATAGAACCCTGAGATATATTACCCCCGAAAAACAAGAACTAAACCAATAAATTAATATGGGATGCCCCCAGGGCTCTCTACAAAGCCCTTTACTATAGAATATTTTACTATCAGGGTTATTAGAAAGAACCTTTCCAAATCACATATATCTAGAAGCATTTGCACATGACATCGTGGTTGTCATAGAAGGAAACTCAAGAAGAGAATTAGAAGAAAGAACTATTGAAATACAGCAAGAAATGGGACAGTGGACAAACGAACATAAATTATACTTTAACTACTCGAGATGTAAATGTCTAATAATAACTAGAGTTGAACTATATAAAAAGACCCCCCTTAATAAAATTTCACCATCATAAGCTGGAATTAGTGACACAACTTAACATTTTAGGAGTCATTTATGACTCAAATTTAAACTTCCTTCCACACCTTCAATAGACTAAACAGAAAGTCCGAATCCATACAGCCAATATTTCAAAAATATACTCAACAAATTGGGGTGTTACATCCAGTCAAATACGTGAAATATACTTATGCAGCATAAAAAG